TATTTTTACAAACAGAAGAATCTAGGATTTAAAACAAAGTAAAAAGTGGCCCCTGCCGTTTTGATCATTCATTCTTATGACTCTAAAGAAAAAATTTCACGAATTTCCATTTTTTAATTATTCGCTTTTCGATTTTTCAATTTTTGACGTCTTCAATTTTCCGAACTGCTTTTTTCAATTTTCCTTTTTTTTGTTAGTATTTGCTACGATAAAACTGAGTTTGACTTTTAGGAAAAAAGTTAAACTCAGCTCCTCCCACCTTTCTTTTCTTTTAACCGACTTATTTTATTTTCTGTATCTGCGGTACGAATTGAATTCTATTTTGACAAGCGATAGAATCTAAGATTTAAAACCAAGTCAAAAATGCTACCCTCCACCTACCCCTACTCAGTTTTGATCATGCATTCTTATTGGCGATGAAGAAAGAATTTCACGAGTTTTCTATTTCTAATTATGCACTTTTCGATTTTTCAATTTTTGACGTCTTCAATTTTTCGAACTGCATTTTTTCAATTTTTCTTTTTTTTTGTTAGTATTTGCTAAGATTAAACTGATTTTGGCAAATGACATATCCTCGAAGAAAAGAGAGGGCGGGTGGGCGGGCCTAGTGTATGCTAAGATACGACTAATTTTGGCAAATCACATACACTCTAAGAAAATAGAGGGCGGGTGGGCGGGGCTAGTATTTGCTAAGGTAAGACTGCACAATAATAAGAGTAGTCAGTGGAATGAAGAGAAACTTAGTGGGTGGGCCTACTGCTTGCTTACAAAACTCTTAAGAGAAAACCCAAACTCAGCTCCGCCCACCTTTTTTCTCTGTTTGACTGACTTATTTTATTTTCTCTACAATGGAAATTGATTTCTATTTTGACAAGCGATAGAATCTAATATTTAAAACAAAGTCAGAAATGGTACCTCCCACCAACCCCTCCTCCGTTTTGATCTTTCATTCTTATTGGAGCTGAAGAAAGAATTTCACGAATTTTCTATTTTTAATTATTCACTTTTTGATTTTTCAATATTTTGGATGTCTTCAATTTTTCGGATTGCATTTTTTGAATTTGTCTTTTTTTTTGTTAGTATTTGCTAAGATAAAACTGATTTTGGCAAATAACATATCTTCGAAGAAAAGAGAGGGCGGGTGGGCGGGCTTAGTAAATGCTAAGATAAGAGTAATTTTGGCAAATCACATACACTCTAAAAAAATAGAGGGGGGGTGGGCGGGGCTAGTATTTGCTTAGGTAAGACTGCACAATAATAAGAGTAGTCATTAGAATGAAGAGGAAGTCAGTGGGCGGGCCTACTGCTTGCGTACAAGATTATTAAGAAAAAAGTTAAACTCAGCTCCGCCCAACTTTTTTCTCTGTTTGACTGACTTATTTTATTTTCTCTATAGTGGAAATTGATTTCTACTTTGACAAGTGGTAGAATCTAAGATTTAAAACAAAGTTTAAAAAAAAATGGTACCTCCCACCAACCCCTCCTCCGTTTTGATCATTCATTCTTATTTGTGCTGAAGAAAGAATTTCAAGCATTTTTTCAATTTTTCTTTTTTTGTGTTAGTATTTGCTAAGATAAAACTGATTTTGGCACATGACATATCCTCGAAGAAAGGAGAGGGCGGGTGGGCGGACCTAGTACATCCTAAGATAAGAGTAATTTTAGCAAATAACATACACTCTAAGAAAATAGAGGGCGGGTGGGCGGGGTTAGTATTTGCTAAAGTAAGACTGCACAATAATAAGAGTAGTCAGCGGAATGAAGAGAAACTTAGTGGGTGGGCCTACTGCTTGCTTATAAAACTCTTAAGAAAATGCCCAAACTCAGCTCCGCCCACCTTTTTTCTCAGTTTGACTGACTTATTTTATTTTCTCTATAGTGGAAAGTGAATTCTATTTTGACAAGCGGAAGAATCTAAGATTTAAAACAAAATGAAAAATGGTACCTTCCACCAACGCCTACTCCGTTTTGATCATTCATTCTTATTGACGCTGAAGAAAAAATTTCAGGAATTTTTTATTTCTAATTATTCACTTTTCGGTTTTTCAATTTTTGACGTCTTCAATTTTTTGAACTGCAATTTTTCAATTTTTATTTTTCTTTGTTAGTATTTGCTAAGATGAAACTGATATTGGAAAATGACATATTTTCTAAAAGAAGAGAGGGCGGGTGGGTGGGCCTAGAACATGCTAGGATAAGAGTAATTTTGGCAAATGACATTGATCGTTCGATTTAAAACAAGTCAAAAGTGCTCATTCACCCGTCTGCCCTCTATTTTCTTAGAGAGTAATATATGTCATTTGCCAAAATCAGTCTTCTCTTAGCAGATACTAGTACCAACCACCCGCCCACCCTCTATTTTCTTAGAAAGTACATGATTTGCCAAAATCAGTCTTATCTTAGCAAGTACTACCCCCACCCACCCGCCCTCTATTTTCTTGGAGGGTATGTAATTTACCAAAATCAGTCTTATCTTAGCAAGTACTAGCCCTGCCCACACACGCTGCTCTCATTCTAACCATTTTATTTGTGTTTAATTGAAATCTATCTTTCATTCGAACTCTTAGATAAAATGAATCATTGAAATAGAGGCGGGGTGGGTGGGCGGGGTTAATTGTAGGTTCTTTGTATTAGCTTGTTTTTCCCCAAATTTAGAAAAACACAGCGTCCAAAACAAATTCTTTATTCGCAGCTCCTTTACAACGTATCTCGTACAAGCTCAGCTACTGAATGACGCCTCCACCAGTCCGTGGTAGTTTCCTTGCATGCCTCTTGACCTCGCACCGCTTCTCATATTCCCAATCGCACGATGCTCAGCACAAGCTCAGCCTTGAGTCGCGACGTCCAGCATAAGCGGCGCTAACATTTGCTAGAGTACGAATGGCAACTAACAGAGCGTAGGCTGTTAAAAAAAGCTATAAATTTATTTTTTTTCTACAGAGTCACCCCCTCTACATTCCAGTGATTACTCTTAATATTGTTCAGTCATTTATCAAAATCAGTGTTATATTGACAAATACTATAGCATTAGGTTTTTTCTTACAGCCTGAATTTGAACATTTATTCGCGAATTATACCTGTTCCTAGAGAACCGAGATTACCAAGTTTTGAACGTGTTTAATATATGCCTTTCGTGTTTATTTCATAGTGCTTTATTTTACGGTATACAGGAATTTATTCCACCATATAATCTTGTGTAGCGTAATTTAATGTTACTTCTTTCCTTTCTCCTAACTCTACAGATACAGTTCGCAATTTTAATTAGAATAAATAGAAAGCTGACGGGTTTTCTCTGACGTCAGTTGTCACATGTACAATTGTCAGCTATTCATGGAGAGACCGGAGTCCGCGTGAAATGCGCAGGAAATAGCTGATTGGTTTGGGAAGACGGGCTGTAGCGTATAATATGCGGCAGGTTTCCTGGGCACAAAGATGTGGTGTGTTTTACCTGGAGTAAAATCACAACGTCCTCTATAGCACGTATGTTTGTATTGATGAGGCTGATACGTGTTTAAACTCCATATTAATTTTAATAATAATGAAAAAACTTTCAGAGTTTAAATAATATATTTGTAGTCACTGCTACACGTGTTTCGGAACACAGTACCGTCTTCAGGCAGACGGTACTGTGTACCGAAACACGTGTAGCAGTGACTACAAATATATTATTTAAACTCTGAAAGTTTTTTCATTATTATTAAAAATATAGCACGTATGTTGTTTTCTCGAGTGTTAATAATATTACATTTTGTCAGTAAGCAAATACATATAAAAAAAACATTCTTATTAACCTTAGAAGACATTGGTGATTTTTTCAGATCGCTTTTTAGAAGTCAGGTAACTTCTATTCAGGCTTTAATCATTGCAGTTTTTTATTGTTTTTGTTTGTTTAAATAACCTCGGCACTTGTCAAGGTCATAAATTGTTAATAAAAACATAATAAAACAATGATTAACAAAAAAAGTGTATGAAACGTGAATGTCTGAAAAAATAAAAAGAAATACCCAGTAAAACATGGTAGATGTTAGAGTGCGAGAACTAAGAGAGGAAAGAGGAATAGAATGGAGCGGAATTAAAACAGCAAAAAACAATTTTTATAACGTTAGATAATAAATAAAAAAACATTTAGATAAATCAATATCATTGCATGACGATGTTTTTTTGTGTCCTTAGGCACAAACACTTACAGTACAAACAGTTCAAAACGTTGACATTTATTGCAATTCGAGTATCAAGGTCTAAAGTTACAATCGACACTATGGAAGGATCAATGAAAAGACGGAACGGTAAAGTGGCTAGTGTGAGAATTGGTATAGCCAAAGCCGAAAATCTTGTGAAAGAAGACCTGTAAATGACGAAAATTGACAAAGTTAATTTGTCTCATAAGACATTTTATTCTTTTCGCCTTATCTTTATCTATTCATGTCGGTATTTTGGTTGACCTTAAGTATTACTGATTATTATCAGCGCATTGAAAGTATTTGATACTTACATTGAGTGTCTGTACATCAAAAATGCATTGTTCTGTTGACTCACCGTTATGATTATCAATTATCACACCGCAAGGTTTAACCACTTTAAAAAAAGTACGTAAATCTGGAATGTATCCGAAATTTTGAATATGAGTTATTGCAATCAGACGTACACATATTTTCGGTAATTGAAACAATTCACCTAATAATGAATTTCAAATACATGACGTAAAAGATCACTAAAAATACATACTTTATAAAAAATAACCACTACGAGACTAAGATTATTTTTGATATTGATTATGATACCTAAAAGTTATATCTGATTTCTGGAGTCGCGAAAATATAACCAAATTATCAAATTACGAGTACCTTTGGCACATTTGAGGATCGATATCTCACAACACTTTACACTTTTGCAGATTGTGTAACTGTTATTAATCCGATATCAACCCTTACAACTTAAAAGCGAGTATATTAATAATGTTGTTAATTCTCAAAAAAAGGGTATTAAAAAAAATAGTAGTCTTTTCTACACGAGTTTATTTGAATACTGATACACAAAAAACTAACTAGTAACGAATTAGACAGTTTCTCCGACCGGCTTAATAGTTAATTCGTGCACCTGCAACCAAATGAAAAATATAAATAAAGTAAATAATAGACAAATAAGCGAGGAAAAAAATTACCTGAACATGAGGTGGTGTCGATAACACGTACAACACGGAATCAGCAATATCCTCTGATTCCAGAGAATTCATTTTTTGCAGTTGTTCAGCCGTTATGCTCGAGTTGTTAGCTTCAAAAATTTCAGTACCGACAAGACCTGGGCTGACACTCTAAAAATGTAACCTGCTATCTTAATCCTCACCAACATCGTGCAACTTTACCGTAATTTTTATTTTAAGTCCCAAATGGTTCAACTCTTGCCTCAGAGTTTCCGTGAGAGCCGTCACAGCATATTTAGATGCCGGATACACATTCAATCCCGGAAAATTAGGTACCTTATGACCTGCTACACTGTTGATGTGAACAATGTGGCCATCAATTTTGTTAGCTTTCATGATTTTGACGGCTTCTCTTGTGGCAATGCACAAACCGAGGACGTTCGTGTCGAAAATTTTCTTCCATTTTTCGGTGTCGCCTTCTGTTAGATTGGTTTGTTGGATGATTCCGGCGTTGTTTATCAAGATATGGACGGGCCCTAAATTGTCTGATACCCACTTGAAAGCTTTCAGGATGTCTTCTTCTTTCGATATGTCAGTTTTAACGGCGTGGAGTTTCCCTTTTTTACCTTCAAGTTGTTTGGCGAGGTCTTCAACGCGTTCGGAACGTCGGGCTAAGCCCACCACCTTTAAAACCGTAGTTGTTATAGCGAGGTAATAATTGTTAGATTTTTTACCTGGAGGCCTTCTTCGACTAGTTGTTTGGCGATAGCGGCCCCTATACCGGCACTAGCTCCGGTTATCACGGCGACTTTGCCTGTCCAGCGATCCATTGATAACACCATCGTTAGATAATGCGTGTCTTGCCACTTCGAATTTTTACTACAGACTGACGCACGCACTAATCTAGGAACTGGAGTGGAGATTGATGCCGCAGTCGAGGCCACCTTAAATCAGTAGGTAGCATCGAAGCTTTTCGGTAAATACCGGAAAATGTCGGTAGATTTAGGAATGATGAACTTTACATTACATATACTTTAATACAGTGAGTCAATAAGTCAACGTCAGTGGCTAATTTGTTGCCAATTTCTTTTCCATGGGTTTTTTTGTACAAGAAAACCCTTTCTACATTACCAAAACAATGTGGTAGACAAAGTAAACTAAAAATAAAATTCGAGTGACCCAAATATAAAAGTTGCATCACTCGAGATCATTTTGTGAATTTCTTGACAAAATATTTCTATACTGTCAGAAAACAATATCTGAAGATTGAATGTCTAACTTAGGGTCAGTTCTGAACTGCTCCATGCTGCTGAAAATGCTTAAAAAATAGCAAAACAGAATAAACAAAATTAAAATCGAAGAATTGAGACTTTTCGAAATAAATTCAACACGTCTAAATTCGGAATGAAATCATGGATTCTCAATGTAACTCTAAAACCTACTGAATCATGACCTTGTCTATATTCTTCTTAAGAGTTTACGCAATAAAGAAATGCTGCATCAAGGTGAAAACTATATTGTTTGCCAAACTAAAAAAACGCTACCTGTTGATTTTAGTTTAAAAAAAAAAACCTCCAGTGGTGTTTTTCATATTCTTAGGACGACACTGCGTTTTATACCGTTGAAACTTCAACGAACATCAAAGTTGTGATCACAAAACACGCAAGTAATAAGTTCTACAACACCCGATCTAGTGAATTTAATAACTTGCCAGTCAGACTGTTGGTCCTAAACGGCTTGGAGCAACAAATCATTGAGGATTATGTCCAAATAACCAACGTTTGTATGAAACAAAATCTTTTTGAATGTAACGGGCAGTGTTGGACAGTATCTAGATACTTGTATCTAAATAAAGTATCTAGATACATTTTTGGGTATCTAGTATCTGTATCTAGATAAAATCGAATTTAAGCACAAAATATCTGTATCTAGATACAAAATTAATGGCGCAGATACAGATACATTTTTTTATTTCACTTTTTTTTTCAGTAGTTATTAGTTGAGTTATACTAGTAGTAATTTTTGATACTTCATGTTGGTGATTTTGGTCACATAAACAAAAATAGAGGTAAGAGGTCCACTAATAGTGTTCTGTCACGGAAATTTTCATATTTTAAATACCATCATTTCCTACATTGTAGCCTTCAGTACTTATACATCTTTAAATATAATCCTGAGGGGTAACAAATCTAAGCCATGGTAAGATGGTATTTTAAAAACTAAACCACAATTCACTATTCACTGCGTTTTACGCTTGTCGGGGCAATGCATTTTATCTGTGTACCTGAGCAACCCGGGTACGGTAGGCCCGCTGGTTGTATTTGTGTTATTAAATAAGAGTAATTTTTATAGTAAATATATTTGTTTAAGGTATGTTATTATTTTTAGAAAATAATAATTGCGTGTTACATAATGATTAATTTTTTCAGTTAGCACAAATTAGTTTTGTAATCGACTAATCGAATGTTCAATACATATATTTCTCTCGCATAAATCGCATATTTGTTACTGTTTTATATCTTTATTTTTCAGACAAATGTTGCATCTTTTTCTGTTGCCACATGTGTCATTTCTTCACTTTGTCATTGTTGGATTTAACGCGAGGCGGGCTTGGCAGGTCCGTTTTGCCCTAGAATGTGCCGATTATGTTTAAGTGTAAATCTTGGGCAATAAAATTAATATTTTTACAACCCTCGGTAGAATAATTTATCGTGATATATTCTCCGAAATCGTGAAACGAGATTAAAATAAAATGAGTTTCAACAAAAATCTGAAAATTTAAAGTTGCACTCTGGTGATTCCGGCCTGCCAGGCAGCCTTTGATCCTATAAGGGGTTTAAATACATTTCTAAGAAATTGTACTTATTTTGCTTTAAACGGAACCAGCAATTCTTCCTATGTATATACCTGCCGCAACGGGATAGACGATTACCGGACATGGTCATAAAAACATCGTAAGCCGATATTGAAGCATGATAATTTATGACAGGTTGCCGACAACAGACCTTCAGTACAGAATAATCATTTCCCGTATTCTTTTGAAATATTAATTTTAATACTGGAAATAATTATTAGATATACTCAAACACAATTTGGACACTGTAGTATGGGAATAAAAACAAAAAAAATATTCTTTTTAAGCGTACGTAACAAATGTTGCACAATTTGCGACACATCAAACAGCGAAGCGATGGCCTATTTGCAGGAAAAAAGAAAATATTTTGCAGTCTTGAATAACTATGCTACAGTAAAATGTTTATTTTTTAAATTTATTACCACAATTCCTTCTTCTGCACCTGAGGAACGGGTGTTTAGTAGCGGAAACCAAATTCTGACACCAATAAGAAATAATTTAGGTGACAATACGTTCAAAATGTTGTTAATTTAAAAAAATTCATTAAACAATACATAAAAAATACATAAACATGTTTTCAGTTATTTTATTCGCCAAAGCTTCAAAAAGTATCTGTTTTCTTGTATCTGTATCTAGATACATTTCGAAAAATTCGAAAACAATCTGTATCTAGATACTTTTAAAAGTAGTGGTGATAGTCGTTAAGTATAACTAATTACACTCGTTGAAGGGGACCGTGGCGTCGAATGCGATTTGTTTTTGTTTAAACAATTCCTCTTACAAACTAAATTGGATACTGCTCAGGTCGGTGCCTTTGTTTTTTTTTCTCTCTGCGCGAAATTTCATTTTTAAACCGGGACACCACAGTATAAAATGTTTGTATTTGACAGTTTGAGTTGCGAGTGCAATGATTGGAAAAATATTACAATTTGTTACTCACACTTTGATTAGATTCCTTCGTTTCCACTCGCACAAATTGCCTTTCCCTGATAAGTTTTACAACACTTGTGACCACGTCTCTACATAGTGCTGCTACTTATAGAAAAATGAAATTCAAATTCAAATAACTATGCAATTACACTGATGCATTTGGTCAATAAATTTATTTTTATGAGGATTTTAAGTGGTTTTTAAATGTCCTGATTATGCTAACCTTGTCAATGATGCGTCGAAATATTGTATACAATTTTATGTTGTCCTGGTGTCAGTTCAGTGATACACCTAGCACACTGATAAAGTGGGTTCCTTTTAGTTTTCTTTACAAATTTTGGATTAATTCATCAACTTTTTGAAAAGGATAAATACATATTTTTTGGGCTTTGTAATCTTGGAGTTAATAAGAAGACTTTTGGTATTACATCAAATATTAAAAACTAACACACATTATATCTCTTTATTTTACATTCTACATTGCTAACTATAAATTAAAATTTTTCTCCGATTGGTTTTATGGTCAATTCATGCACCTGAAAAAATCAAACCTAGATTTAATACCAAAACGTTATCTCCAAAATCTACCTGAACATGAGGAGCCGTGGACAACACATACAGGACCGAATCAGCAACATCTTCCGATTGTAAAAAAGGAAAGTTCTTAAAATCTTCCGTCCGTTTAGGATCCAATATAAACTCATTACTCTGAACAATTTCAGTGGCCACTCCACCTGGACTCACACTCTGAAATCTTCCAAATAACAAAATCTTTCACAAACTAACAAACCCCTTTTACCGTAATTTTAATTTTAAGCCCCAACTGGTTGAACTCTTGCCTTAGAGTTTCCGTGAGAGCCGTCACAGCATGTTTAGAAGCGGGATACACATTCATTTCCGGATAATTAGGTACACCATGACCTGCTGCACTGTTGATATGAACAATGTGGCCATCAATTAGCTTTCATGATTTTGACAGCTTCTCTGGTGGCAATGCACAAACCGAGGACGTTCGTGTCAAAAATTTTCTTCCATTTTTCGGTGTCGCCTTCTGTTAGATTGGTTTGTTGGATGATTCCGGCGTTGTTTATCAAGATGTGGACGGGCCCTAAATTGTCTGATACCCACTTGAAAGCTTTCAATATATCTTTTTCTTTCGATATGTCAGTTTTCAGGGCGTAGAGTTTCCCTTTTTTGCCTTCAAGTTGTTTGACGAGGTCTTCAACGCGTTCGGAACGTCGGGCTAAACCTACCACCTTTAAAACCGTATTTTTATGGTGAGATAATAATAATCGTTGTATGTTTTACGTGGAGGCCTTCTTCGACTAGCTGTTTGGCGATAGCGGCGCCAATGTCGGCACTAGCTCCGGTTACGATGGCGACTTTGCCTCTCCAGCGATCCATTGATAACACCATTATTGGATAACGCGTGTCTTACTGCTTCAAATTTTTACTCAAGACTGATGAGATTCTAAATATATCCCGAAAACCTACCCAGGCTATCTTCTTCTTAACAGTTTACGCAAAAAAATGCAATGTCATGGTGTTTGTATTTTTATCACAACATATTTCGTAACATTGCTCATTAAATTGATTTTTTATTTGTTTCTCTCCTTAAGGTGACGCTGCTTTGATTAAATCATGTCAATTAATTGCACATAAACTTCGGTGTTTTGATTGTTATGGAAATTAATAAGATTTTTGCAATGCGAATTTTTAAAAGCATAGACTTCATTTATGAAAGAACCTAAAACCAAATGAAAAATATAAATAAAGTAGATAAAGCTGGAGCACATTAGTATTGGGGGCTTATTGATGGAATGGATTTCTCCCTTTTTATCAAATCGTACTTTTTCGATCAGAGTAAGATCTTCTCACTCTCAAGCTCTGAACGTTTTGTCGGGTGTCCCTCAAGAGTCGTGCTGAGCCCTTTACTATTCACCTTACACATAACAGATTTCGCTTGTTTTGATCCAAAGTCATTACTTGTTCTATACAAACGATCGTAAGGTCTTTCTATGGTCCACGAAGTTAACAGATCCAGATTGTGCTGCAAGATTTCACTATTTCGAAGGGTACTAATAGATAAGAAAACTGTGAGATCATCAGTGTACAGTAGCTTTTGATAAGTTAAAAAGTTTACGACATCATTGACGAATAGCAGAAACAGCAAGCGGCCTAGATTGGACCCTTGCGGGACACCTGACGTGGGACAAAATGGCTCGGAAACAGAATTACGGTACTTAACTGAAAGCTTTCTATTAAGTAAGTATGATTCAAGCAGCAGGAGCAGATAATCCGAAAATCCGAAATGATTTGGTTTACGACGTAGTAGGTAATGACCAATCTCATCAAAGGCTTTATGGAAATCTGTGTAGATAACATCTACTTGGTTATTTTGATCAATAGCCTCTGATCTTTTCTCCATAAAGCCCATGCTGGAAGTACGAGATTAAAATTTTAACCGAGTAATGCAAACGTTTATAAATGACAAATTCAAAAAATTTTGAAAAGTTGCAGAGAACACATATTGGTCGGTAATTTTCAATCACAGACAGATCGCCTTTTTTAAATGCTGGAGTAACTATGGCTTTTTTCCAGATAATGGAGAGGTTTTACAAAGTATGATAAAGCTGAGAATGTTATCTGCACTTGCGATTAAAGAATCTTTGGATCGTTTTAACGCTTCAAGTATTTCGTCTTCTGTAGTCAGTGCACAATATCCTCAAAAATATACTCGACGCTAGATATTACCATAATGTTTACTAGTGCCATGAATGATTGTCTTACGTATTTGAAATTTCGCATGTCATGTTAATTTGAGTTAAATAGGTTTCATAACCTCTGCTCACTGTACAATAATAACAATAATAATACTAAATTGGAGGTTCTAAATATAACCCAAGGACCTACTAATCATGACCTTGCCTATCTTCTTCTTAACAGTTTACCGTACAAAAGAATGCTGCATCATGGTGAGAACTGTGTTCATTTATTGCAAAGTATTTCATAACATTGTGCATTAAAGTGATTTCTTATTTTTCTCAAAATGACGTTGCTTTGATCAAAACGTATTAATTGACATAATGCAACTGGCCATAAAGTTCGGTGTTTTCATCTAGTGCTTTCATGTCCATTCGTAGCCACAGAATGTTTTAGTCGGGTTTTATGCAATAAAAGTTTAAATTGTTGATCGGTCGCTGCATCAGACAACATAACTAAAATCTTCTCTGTCAGAACATTGATCAGGAAGAAAGGAATTCAGGAAAGTTAAATCTTAATACAGTTAGAATGTTGTTTTTTCCTAGTTGTTTGCATACAAATAAATAAATTCGCTTAAATAGCCGACCAGAAATGGTCTCATTGCCAATATCTGGTACATCATTTTTTGTAAGCGTACTTTCGTCCGGTATAACATATTTACAATTTTTTTCTGACGACACTTTCAAACCATAGTCTTGGCCTTTTTAAGAGGAATACTGATATTTGGAATTTGCGCTCAGATGTTATTAAAAAAAAAAATTAAAGCGAAAGCAGATTAAAACAATCATGTTAAAAAATATGCAATATAAATTAAAAGAAAAAACACTTACCGTTTTCCCACAAGCATTGAAGAAACCACCCAGGCAACATGATGTCGCCTTTGTCACGTGAATAAATGGTCGTCAATTACGTCATAGTGACCGAAGATTTCACGTGATATTGACGTACCAATGACGGTCAAATGTCTCGTCCAGATGACATAATTTTCTAACGAACTATTGACGTGATGTACTGACGTCTTAGAGACGGCATTTATTGTCCATTTTAAGACGTTTTTTAAATTTTGATTTTTAGAAAAAAATATGGAATAAATAAAACGCTGAAATAATTTTATATTTTTATATTGTTTACCTTAAATAAAATATTATAATTCGTTATAATCACCAGGTAAACCCCAAAACAAAATATCTATTAATTAAACTTAAAACAAATAAAAAAATATATCTCAATTAAACAAATTAAAGATAAACCACTTCTATGAACACAAACAAATCTACATACAGGTAATTACGAGTATAATTATTTAGTATAAACAAAAAAAAAGGATAATATACAATCAAAAATAAACGTTGCAATAAAATATGCTATTTAAAGAAAAATCAGTTTTAAAAACACAAAGAAATCTATTTAGTTACAAAGAATATTAAAAGAAAACTATAATAAACTATAAATCAGTCTTATAAACACAAACAAATCTATTTACAAAAAATATTTAAAAAAAAACTAGAATAAAGGGAAACGACAAATGAATCGCATTGTTGAAGTTACTTGATTTGAAAATGCACTGTAAAACTATCTAATTCACAACGACTTGACTGTCCCCAACACATAAAAAAGTACCATTAAGAATTAATTCTGTTTTAGCAATCATATTAATAACCTAAGTTTTTTAAGGAAAACGTATAGCCTATCAGGAAAATCTCGTTGTAAATACTTTTAACAATGAAGCGATATGGGCCATGTATAGTAAGTTACCAAAAAGTATCGTAGTATTACAGGCATCTACCTGTATAAAAATCCAATATTATGTTATACATATATGTACATATGAATTCATTGTATTTTTTTAACTTACAAAAAAATATGCTTGTTCTAATAGGCAAAGATAATCTTGTAATTCGTCAAAATTTGTTTAGTTGTGGTCTTGGCGGCATAATTTCTATTTTTGTTTTCTTTTTCAGTTTTCAGATTTGATGACGTTTCCATGTTGGAGATTTTTTCACTCGTTTCCTTTAGCATTTCTTTCGTTTCGCACATTTGTTTTGTATTTGTTTCAAATCTTGTCCCGTTTTAGGGACAATGGACAAAGAATTTTTTTGACTTTGTTTGTGTCGTTGGGTCTTTTCGCTCAACCCCAGATGTTCTATTTATAATTTGCCAAGCAGGTACTTACAAAATTACACTTCCAGAGTAAACAAGTTTTCAGAAATAATTATTTTATTAGAAATTATTAGAATGAGAAAACTTGTCTTTGGTGTATTTCTAATTAAGGCGTTATATTTTTTGCTCTAAATATAATTAAGCATTATCAAGGCCACTTTTTAAAGAATACGACGACCCACATCTAATTGATCATATAATCTATAAAAAATAACGAAGAAAAGATGGCCTTTTGACGTGATTAATTGACGTCAGAAGTAAGTCATAAAAATCTCGTCATTATCACGTGATTTTTTGGGCGAATGACGTCGCCGACGAGTTATGACCAAAAATTGACGTGAATTAGACGACAGTCTGCTGCTTGGGCCTTCTTCACTCTTCAGTGTCTTGTAGTGAATGAATTAGAAATATTTTGTCAAATTATTCTCCTTATCTTTATTTGCCAATGTCGGTATGAAATACTATATGCTCAGTCGACCTAGCTAAACTTTTATGACTTAAGATAAACTACCTTCATAAATCAAACTGGCTAATGTAAACTGCCACAAACAAATTTTAAGGTAAATTTATTAAGGAAAAAAGGTAAATTTATTAGGGAAAATACAAGAAAAACTGAAACCGATATATATTCGGATGTTCAAACCGACAAAATATGCAATGGATCGTCAAAATATGCAATAATAATTAACCTACGACAATCAATTTAAGAATAAGAGGATATACTAAAGCACTTATTTGTCTTATCGAAAATACGGGATATGAAAAATTTGGATTTTTTAAATTTCTGGAATTTTGTCGTGGTTCGTACGATAAATGTCAGACTGTAATATTTGAAGTTCAAATTTTCACATAATACTTAATATCAAGATATTATTTTTAAATGTTCTTACGTTGATGACAGAAAACTTATTTCAAGTTTTTTAAGCATTTTCTTTATTAGTAACAAGTTTCAAATCCACCTTTAACAACGTCGCATATTATACGACAAAACTATTGAAAAAATAGACTAAAGTTATATAGACCGAACTTCCCTGTCCCTGAAGCACAATTAAGTCCAATTCCAAAATAAAAACCTGTACTATATTCTGAATTAAAAAACAAAAATACTACTAAAGTGCAAATAACGTTGCATCTAAAAGCACATTTTAAACAAACCTTATTAAATAAAGTTTAAGGATAACGTGATTGACTTTAACGTCCTTAAAAAAAAAGTATAACATTTTTCATTAATTTTTTTTATAATGGATACGTTTGTTTTATAAAGCTAGAAACGTGAAGTGCCATCCGTTTTTTTACAAAAACTATGTCATATAAACGTGTCATGTTTTAACTGAAAAAATTTAAACATAAACCATAGAAGGCTGCCGACCGATCAACACTTTTGTCAGAAATTAGAACTCATTGAAAAATTTTGTAATTTAGTTCTTTTCTGAGTACTTTGTATTAGTTTCTCAGTGTTTTGTGGTACTTTGTGTGCTCGCTCAATGAAATCGGACATCCATGAACATTTCTCGTGCACTTTTGACGAAATTATTAAGGCGGAAAGTACGGCCACATTGAAGCTCCTGCCGGAAAAATCCAAGAGCCAGAGTTTAAAAGAGTACGACTTATTTTTGAAATGGAGGGCTGCTTTTGAAGTAGGTAGTTCTTGATTTTTATTACGAATGTGAAACCAGTTTTATATGCAAGTCGGGAGTAAAGTTACTTTTTCTGCTCGGCCTTCAGTTCGTGTGACAAATCTTAAAAAAAAAACACTTTACTCACTTGTTGCATAAATAACTATTAAATTTTTATTACAATAAATCACATATATACTTAAAAATAATAATATAGATACATAATTAAATCACAAATAAAGGACCATGGAACTTTATAAATTTAAGATGACTTCATCATGATATTTCGTCAGTGTTGACTACTTCAAAAATCGAAAATAAAATGAATACTCCCAAAATAAAAACATCGTATAATGACGTATGGTGTAACGAAGTCCCAGGTATGTACCTGCTGAAAAAATAATACTGATAACTCATAAATAATACTGTTAATTTTGTTTTTCTGCCCAACGTTCAACTTTTGACGTTGTGATGAAATATATCTTAAATTAATTATTCTATATATACAAGATATCATTTTTTTTTTAAACAAATTTCCGTGGTTGCTCTAGTAGTTACATTTCATACAAATGTGTTAAACTAAAATTGTTCTCCAACTGGTTTAATTGTCAACTCGTGCACCTAAAAAACAAAGTCAATATTCAAACATGCTATACCAAATACTAAGAAAAAATACCTGAACATGTGGTGGCGTAGACAATACATAGATCACACCGTCCGCAATATCTTCTGCTTTCAAGTACGGTATACCTTTCCAGTCCTCTGGATTTACATCAAAATCATTACATTCCAAAATCTCTGTGTCAGTTACACCAGGACTAACACTCTAAAAAACAAACCATTATCCTCGCTCTTACTAAACCATCATCACTGTACCGTTATCTTAATTTTAAGTTCCAAGTGATTAAGTTCTTGCCTCAGTGTTTCCGTTAAAGCAGTGACGGCGTACTTGGACGCTGGATACACATTCTGCCCCGGATAATTGGGCACGGTATGACCTACCACACTATTAATGTGAACAATGTGACCATCGATTTGATTCGCTTTCATGATTTTGACGGCCTCTCTTGTTGCAATGCACAAACCGAGGACATTCGTGTCGAAAATTTTTTTCCACTTGTCTGTGTCACCTTCTGTTAGATTCGTCTGTTGGATAATTCCGGCGTTGTTGATTAGAATGTGGACGGGACCTACGTTTTCTGATGTCCATTTGAAAGCTTGGAGAACGTCTTCTTCTTTGGAAATGTCGGTTCTGTAGGCGTACAGCTTGCCCTTTTTGTCTTGGAGCTGTTTGGAGAGCTCTTCGACGCGTTCGGAACGACGAGCGAGACCAACAACCTTTGGAACACTAGTTTCAAGAATAATGTATTGATAGAATTAGAATTACTTACTTTTAAACCTTCTTCTACTAGCTTTTTGGCAATTTCGGCTCCAATGCCAGCACTAGCTCCAGTTACAACGGCAGCTTTGCCTACCCAGCGTTCCATTGACAATACCATTGTTTGTGTACGAAATTCGGTGTTGTTAGTTCGATGGTTCGGTTTAGACTGACGAGGATGACGGACGGTGGCGGTACTAAGCTAAAGAACTAACAATGGAATCTAGTGGGAATGACCGTTATCAAGCTTGCGCAACTATGTATAATCGTATACATAAAACTGATAAAATAAACAAATTATTCGTGTTATCTTTATCTAAAAATACGAATTCGGGGGATGGACTCTGAGCTCACAGCTAAATTTTTCAAAATTTTTTTAAAAAACTTTCACCTTAAAATGTTCTTCCATCAAACTGAAGTTTTATAAAGCTAAACAAGTACGAAGCGAGAACGAAGCAACGACTTTATTGTTCAGCAATGAAATTTTTGGCGAATTCTACACGAATTCTTTCCGAAGAAACCGGAAAAGTATTGTAAAGGTGACTTTGTCTGTGAAAAAACTGGAGGTTATTTTATTATACAAAAAGTCTCCGCAAAGTAATTAACTGATTGCATTGAAATTTCTGCTCAAATAACCAGTCTAAGATAGAGCTTTCTAAAAATTATCTACCTCTCTATCTGAAACTGTAAAAAAATTGCTGCATCAAAATTTTGTCAAGTAATACCTCTTGAAGTTTGGACTCCATATTTCAGTTAACATATTGGCGTTACTTTAAATTAAATACATAAATTGTCGAAATCGTCCTCAAAGTCAGAAAAGATGACCTCAAAACTAATTTCTCTTTTTCTGATGTTGAAGTCATCCAAACAGAACAGAGCTACAAAATTAAATAAAAAATAGAAATAAATATGAAAATGTTATATAGGTTTCGTGGCCTCCAACTCTGCTAGATTAGGATATTGTGTACGTGCGAATCTGGCAGGCTCTTTTTTCAGAATAATAATAAAAAAGTTATTCGTATAATTCTAAAATTTTGACTGTGACAGGATTTATTGAACACATTTTTGAGATGACGATATGACATTTTAGAAGGGGTGAAATTTTAAAGCGTTTCCAAGATTTTAGAGCAGTTGGTTTTGTAGTTTCTAAGCTAAACTATTGCTGCAAAATTTTAAACTTTTTCTAAAAATTAAGACGGATTGATAAAACACAAGCATAGAAGCATATACCGGGATATCCTTTTTCATCCTTTAAAGGTAAGAGATTTCGAGAAACCAAAATTAACTATTAAAAATAATCAAAGAGGGCGTGTATTACTTGTATGAAATAATTTTCAACAAAGTATTTAAAGCCTAATGATAAAATCAACAACAATATTGAATACATTTTTATTAAAAGATATAAAAATGTCAAGTTGTTATTCGCTAACTGCGCATAATTAAGCATTATTAATAGCCCGGAGAATATTATTTTCAAGATTCCAGAAATTTTTGGCATCGACGAGTATATACAATTTTTTATTGTTGCGTTTGTTGTAGCTTCTTGACCATAGTATTAGAACAAAAATCTCTCGATAATAGCACATCACACAAAAGGCACCCGTAACATTGGTCATAATTCGTCATCATTCCATACATTCCGTCATCATCCTTCACAGTCCGTCATGATCCGTTATCATAAATAATAGTAAGTAAATGTTCTATTAATACTTCCTAATCTGTCATCATAAATAACAGTAAGTAAATATTTCCTCATCCGTCGTCATCATCCGTTATGACGGAATATGATCTGTCATAATACGTCATAATCTGTCACCATCCATGATAATAAATAATAATAAATATTCCGTCATCGGTCATAATAGGTCAACATCCATCATAATCCATCATTATCCGTCATCATTTGTAATAATAAATAATAATAAATAAATATTTCGTCATCCGTCATAGTCCGTCATAAAAAATAATAGTACCATTATTTTTTAATATTTACTTACTTAAGTAAATATTCGATCAGTTGTCATCATCCTTCAAATTAAATAATAATAATAAGTAAATATTTCATCAACCTTCATAATCCGTCTCTATCCATGACAATACGTCATAATCGGTCATCATCCGTCACAATACGTTGTAACCTGTCATCATACCCCATCTCCATCAAAATAATTAATAACAAGTAAATAATCCACCATTCATCATCATCATTATCCGTCATAATCTGTGCCAATCATACCCTATGATAAATAATAGTAGGTAAATATTCCGTCATTTATTATTATAATCCTTAAAAATAATAATAATAAGTACATATTTTGTCAATTGTTATAATCCGTCGTCATCCGTCACAATCCGTCATAATCTGGAATAACTGGCTAAAACTGAAACATTTAATCGTCTTGTAAGATTTTTACTTCCCGAGCGTAAGCAAAAGAAGTATTGTAATCGAGTCCGTCGGCCGACTCTCTACCTTTACGTTTTCTCGATCTTTCATGACCCCTAGAAGACGAAGAAATAGGTCTCCCATTTCCGTCTGTCTGTCCGTCTGTCCGTCTGGACCGATTGTTGTGAAATTTTGTAATTATATTAGGAATATCATGTAGATGGTAAAACGCTAACCAAAATTTGTCTAATCATCCCCCACCACTAATGCTATGACGTCACTTCAAAACTGTACATAGCAAATGGGTTTTAAATTGTATAAAATAACATAGTCCTAGACACGTAGTTTACGACTCCGAATTAAGTTTTTACCCGAAACGTCCAGATTTTTGAAAAAAAATCAAAATTATAAAACAACATTTTGCAATAATTTAATTTTGAATCTGCTAAGCCGAATGCTTTGAAATGTTGCAGATGTTTTAAGGCTATAAAGAGCATCATAAATCATTAGTCAAAATATATTTAGTTATCCCTTCCAAAAAATTGATGACGTCAGCTCAAAAGTTTGCCGAATAAATCCGATCTAAAATGTATAAAATATAATGAGTCTGTACTTGTGATCTATCACTCCATTAATATTTTTTGGATTTGCGTATACAGGGTGACTCAAAAAAATTAATGAATGCGTAAATTTATTTTATTGATTTACTCAGGAACTACAAAACCGAATGCTTTGAAATTTTGAAGATGCTTTAAAGTTATCATAAGCATGGTAAGTTTTTGATCAAAATGTATTTGCTCATCCCCCCTAAAAAATTTATGACGTCACCACAAAATTTTGCTGAATAAATCCTATCTAAAATGTACAAAATATGGTAAGTCTCTTCTTGTTATTTATCATTCCGTTCATATTTTTTCAATTTTCATATACAGGGTGACCCAAAAAAAATGAATGCGTAAATGTATCTTATTGATTTAATCAGAAACTACAGAACTGAATGTTTTGAAATCTTGTAGATGTTTTAAGGTTATAAACAGCATAATAAATTTTTAGTCAAAATATATTTGGTTATCTTCTCCAAAAAAACTGATGACGTCAGCTCAAAAGTTTGCCGAATAAATCCTGTCTAGAATGCACAAAATATGATGAGTCTGTACTTGTAATTTATCATCCCATTCATATTCTTTGAATTTGCATGTAGCGGGTGACTCAAAAAAAAATAATGCATACGTAAATTTATTTTATTGATTTACTCAGAAACTACAAGACCTAATGCTTTGCAATCTACTGCGAAAAAAAAACACAATAGGCATGCAGTCGTCACGTTTCCGACAGCGAGGGAAGTACTGTCTAAACTATTTGGACCAATTTTTTGTTATTAATTTATTTACCTATCTTTATTCATCAACACTTTATAAATTTGGACTTAAAATTCACTGATTTTCAGTTGTACTTCTTGTTTGCTTTGATAAGCTGATATTTGGTTCCAGTTACATTACAAGTAAGCAACTAATTTGCAATGCATGTATGTATTGAAAGTGTTTGTATGTTATAAATGCATTGCTCGATTAAACTTATATCTTTAAAATTAAAAAAAAGTGTGTATGTCAGCAAAAATAAAATGTTATATAACCTATAAAGACCCCTCTAAATCCCATATATGTATATCTAATAAAAAACTTGCACACGCCCTAATTTCTTTTTATTCACTTAAAACATCTCTCCAATTGGTTTAATCGTTAACTCATGCACCTAAAAACCACGCAAATAAGCCAAAATATGGCAAGAGAAAATAACAGAACTAAACCTGAACATGAGGTGGTGTTGACAACACGTACAACACAGCATTCGCAACATCTTCAGGTTTTAAAAACTCCAAATTCATCTCTTCAGGAGTCGTTGCCGTTTCACCAGAATAGTAAAACTCAGTGTTCACCACACCAGGACTAACACTCTAAAATAAAATTTAAACATTCATCTTCAAAATAGTTCCAGCCTACCGTAATTTTAATTTTGAGTCCTGCCCGAGTCAGTTCTTTCCGCAAAGTTTCCGTCAAGGCGGTAACGGCATATTTTGACGCCGGATACACGCTTACGGTTGGAAAATCAGGCACAGTGTGACCAGCTATACTATTAATGTGGACGATGTGGCCATCAATTTCGTTCGCTTTCATAATTTTCACAGCTTCACGTGTGGCAATACACAAACCGAGGACATTCGTGTCGAAAATGCTCTTCCACTTTTCCGTGTCGCCGTCCATTAGGGTTGTCTGAGACATGATACCGGCGTTGTTGATTAGTATGTGAACGGGGCCTAAGTTATTGAGGGTCCACTGGAAAGCTTTCAGAATGTCTTCTTCTTTGGAGATGTCGGTTTTAAGGGGATAGAGTTTTCCCTTTTTGCATTTGAGTTGTTTTGCGAGTTCTTCGACGCGGTCGGAGCGGCGGGCCAGACCTACAACCTTTGAAAGTCTAAAGTTATTTAGATACAACTTTATTACCATTGTTTAAGTATATTATACTATTAGACGCCTAGGGTAAAAATAATTTTGTACTTACTGTCAAACCTTCTTCTACTAGCAGCTTCGCCAGTGCTGCGCCCATACCGGAACTAGCTCCAGTCACAATTGCTACTTTTCCTCTCCAACGGTCCATATTTTCAACACTGTGATCTTATTAGTTTTACGTACTAGTTCTGGCACTACATACGAATAGAGGATTAACATGTATGGGTTTTGTACACTTTGCTTGCATTAAAGTACTGTCCTCATAACTTATTCCTGACAGACAGTTTGAATTTATCATTGATAATGTTGAATTATTATTATTTTGTTTACAATGAACTGTTTTGCCTTGATTGATTTATGTGAAGGACACTTTCCGCAAAAATAAATTATTATTATAGTTTTAGTTGCTTCATAAATTATGGTTTAGCTTCTAAAGTAGAAATTTAGACTGATAAAGTTTGATGTTGTGATAACCCAAATATCCATCCAAAAATTGACAAGTGAACACACACTCCACATTTCTATACCCAAAAAACCTGCCGCATAATTATACTGTCTACCCGATCTTGGAACAAGCTACGCCTTTTACGCGAACACGAGTCTATCCTAAAGTTTAATTTCAACAACTATTTAGGAAATGCCAAAACCACAAACTTAACTAGAAACCGTGTGTTTCGCTTTCGACACGCGAACTTGTGCCGTTTTTTTCAATTAAGTTAAAATTATATCCCTTTCGAATTGAAAATTTCAACCAACAAAGATTTAGCATGATGGTCATTTTACCTCGTTAATCGAAAAACCCCCATATCACATACAAACAAAAAAATAAACATATATTCAATGCGGTCAAAATTAAGATGAGCTGGGCTCGGGAACGCTACGCTTTGAGCGGCACCGTCGAGAATACAAGTACACAACTTTTATTGTAAATAGTATGGTAGCAATAAATTTGTGTCTACTTACAATATATTAATACATATGTTTGTTTTAGGTAACGTTTTGTGTAAATTGTGAACGAATTCCGCTAATATTTGGGTAAGCAATGTTTTCTATTTATTCATAACTTACTGTATCGAGTTCGCACAAAATTTGTAGGCATGTATTGAATTCTTCTAGGTATATTTAAACGTTTCAGGTAGAATTTTTCTCCCACAGGTTTAACAGTTAACTCGTAAACCTTCAAATTGTAAAAATTTCATAAATGATATAATTATAAAACCGCGTTGCGAGTGCAAAGCATTCCACTCTAACAAGCCTTTCGGGTCAACTTGGATATCATTAGTTTGAACAATTTCAGTTTCTATCGCACCGGGACTGACACTACAATTCTCCACAATGTGTAACATGTTCACCCAAATTTGTCTACTATACCGAAATTTTAATTTTAAAACCCAAGTGATTAAATTCTTGTCGCACGGTTTCCGTCAAAGCGGTCACAGCACGTTTGGACCCTGAATTTGCCTTTTTTGTTTTGGAGCTTTTGGGGAAGTTCTTCTACGTGGTCGAAACGTCGAGCTAGGTCTACCACCTTTAAGTACTTGATAATGATAATCACAGGAAGAAGATTGTTAAAACACTTACTTGTAAACCTTCTTCGACCAGTTTTGCTGCGCTAGCGTCAGTTACAATAGCTGTTTTATTGCAGGGTGGAAATAAATCAAAACACAATTTTTGATTGAAGGAGACTCTATTTATTTAACATAATGATTCCGAGTAACTACAGGAACGACCCACGTACAAATAATTGACATTTACATACATGTGTTACACCAGTGTTTCTCCAACAGGTTTAATACATATTTCGTGAACCTGTAAATTTATCATTATTATTATTGCAGTGAAATCAAACACATCCTAAAATAAAATTGTGTCCCTTGTATGTTACCTGTACGTGAAGCGGGGTCGAAAGAACGTAGAGAACACAATTCGCAATGTCTCTGGGTTCTAAACCAGGTGCATCATCGAAATTTTTATCCACTGCTACATCATTATTTCTCGCAATCAAAGTATCAACTCTTCCTGGGCTAATACACTAAAACCTAGTACATAGTATAAGCAGTAACTTACGCCAATCTCTTACAGTAACTTTTATCTTTAGACCAAAACGATTCAGTTCTTGACGATAGGTTTCAGTTAGCGCTCTGACTGCGAATTTAGAGGCCGGATAAACGTTGATCTCCGGAAAGTTGGGTACGGTATGACCAGCAGCACTACCAATATGAATAATGTGACCATCGATATTATTCTCTCTCATAATTTTGACAGTTTCTCTTGTCATTATGCATAAGCCCAAGATATTTGTGTCGAGAACGGTTCTCCAGGTGTCTGTTTTACCCTCGATTAGTGTATCTTGACGAACAATGCCAGCACAGTTGATGAGGATGTGGACTGAGCCTAGGCTTTCACTAATCTTTTGGTAAAACTTTACAACTTCTGCGTCGTTAGTTACGTTAACTAAATAGCCGTGTAAAGATTTGGTCTTGTTTTTGAATCTTGTAGTCAGTTCTTCTAGTCTTGTTGAATTGTTGTCAACAGCTACAACCTTAATCATTTTAATTATTTTATAATATACTTATAGTTTATTAGAAAACTGTTACTTTTAAGTCTTCTTTCAGTAGTGTTTCAACCATTGCTGACCCAATACCACCGGCGGCACCAGTAACAATAGCAACTTTACCTCTCCAACGGTCCATTGATAAGTCAGTTTCAGTGGACGTGATACCAAACGCACTGTTTTTACGGAAATGTGTTTGTGTATATAAATGTGCGTTCAATTACGTAAGAGTAATTTAAATCAAGTTATACCAATGGATTTAATTGAAGCGTGTTTTATTTTTAATTATACCTGGTGTCCTAGTGATTAAATTAACATCTCGGTAATTAAATACTGTTCAAACCATACACTCCGCGTTATGATATTTTCGAGTTCTAAGTCAGGTTTTGGAATTATTTGGAGACTTAAAGGACAAATATAATTACAAATAGTTCATTTGAGAAGGAAAATTTTGTTAACTTAATTCGATTAGATCTGGTTAGGTTTGTTTTCAAACGCTACGGGAGTGGCGCCTTCTAAGGGGGACAGATAAGAAGGTTTAGAGTGACAAAAATAAAAACAAAGTGGAAGTGTATTAAATACTCCAGGTTTCGTAGAATAAAGTAAATATCATTATTATTATTTTTTTAATGATTACATATTATTATTTAGAACGTAAACAAATAAACAATTTCTTGCCAATCAAGTTTAGTTATAAGTACTTGTAAATAAAAACAAGTCTGAACTTGAATCTTTGGTGTAAGTCCATGGGTAATTAAATAACTACATGGGGTACTACAAATCACATCTAATCTGAAAACAAAGCTACTTATATGATGGTATATCTTTCCTTCTTTACAAAGAGTGGAATAATAAATATAGAATCATTATAAAAGTGAATGATTAATGCGTTCTTAATTTTTCAAGTCCATATTTCTCCAATAGGTTTAACACATATTTCATCTACCTGTAAACCCATTGTTATTAATCTCGTAAAACATAGCATACGACGTAACTTACTAAAATCTCTTACAGTAACTTTTATCTTAAGACCAAAACGATTCAGTTCTTGGCGATAGCTTTCAGTTAGTGCTCTCACTGCAAATTTGGAGGCTGAATAAATATTGGTATCCGGAATATCAAGTACGGTACGTCCAGCAATACTACTAATGTGAACAATGTGACCATCAATTGTGTTCTCTCTCATAATTTTGACGGCTTCTCTTGTCATTATACACAAACCCAAGACATTTGTATCAAAAACGCTCTTCCAGTTTTCTGTTTTACCATTGATAAGTGTATCGTGACGAGCAATTCCGGCACAGTTGATCAGAACATTCACTGGACCTAAAGTTTTAGTAATGTCTTGATACAGCTTTATCACTTCTTCGTCCTTAGTTACGTCAGTAGCATAGGTGTGTAAATCTGTAGTTTTGTTTTCGAATTTTTTGGTCAATTCTTCGAGTCTTGTGGAACTGTTGTCAACAGCTGCAACCTTGACAATTCTCGATTTTCTGTAATGTTCTCATAGTACTAGAAAAACCTTACCTTTAGTTTTGCCTTCAACAACTGTTCAACCACTGCCGATCCAATACCACCTGCAGCACCGGTAACAACAACGACTTTATCTCTCCAACGGTCCATTGTTCAGACAGTTGTAATGGTCGTACTCTAAATGAGTCTACTAGAATATCGTGTTTTTATACATAAATAACAGATCGATTACGCAAATTTGAAACCCGGTGCTACAAAAAATGGATAAAACTGTCACAAGGCAAACTGGAATCTGGGAAGAGCAAAGGCGATCTCGTTTTATTGGAGACATTATAAAGTCATTTATATAGTTTATAGCTTTGTAATAGTGTATTTTGTGTAGTACTCTGGCTGTTATGAAGTATAATCTTTTTACTAATTAATTTTGGTTTAACACAAAATGGGATAGGCATATATAAAGTGTTAACATAGACTTTTAGAGAATGAGCTGTACAATATCAGGTACGAAAAGTCATAGAGGATGAAACGAGAAGTGTAATTTGGGAGAGATAAAAATCACAGAAACAATGGAACGAAAAAAAGAAAAAGCCTATCGTAAAAAGCAATACTGCATTACTAGTATACAAGTCAATGACATAAAAGTGTTTTGTCTCTCTTACGGGGTGTGGATTATTAATGAAAATAAATGTGAAACATTGTATAGTTTTTATTAGTAAAATAAAATAGGGATCCACCTATTTAATGATAAATGCGTCCCTAATTCAGCTGTATATTTCTCCAACAGGTTTAATACATATTTCATGCACCTGTAAATTCACAATTATTATTAATCTTGCAAATAAAAACAGACATGCATCCAAAAATAAAGCTTTCGTTTTAACTTACGTATTAGAGACGTTGGTATTAAATAAATACTTAATTATTTTGTTTCTCCTAGTTTACCTGAACATGTGGTGGAGTCGCAAGGACGTAGAGAATAGAATTTGCGATATCTCTAGCTTCTAAACTAGGCGACTCTTCAAACGCTTTATTAGGTGCTACACCAGTTTTCGCAAGTAGAGTATTGACTTTTCCTGGGCAAATACACTAAAATCTGGAACTTGGTACTCGGAACGACTTATTAAAAATTCTTACAGTAACTTTTATCTTAAGCCCAAAACGATTCAGTTCTTGACGATAGGTTTCAGTTAATGCCCTTACTGCAAATTTGGAAGCTGGATAAACGTTGAGTTGTGGAACGTCAGGTACATTACGACCAGTAACACTACTAATGTGAACGATGTGACCATCAATTTTGTTCTCTCTCATAATTTTGACCGCTTCTCTTGTCATTACACACAAACCCAAGACGTTTGTGTCGAGAATGATCTTCCAGTTCTCTGTTTTACCGTCAACTAGTGTATCTTGACGAATAACTCCAGCACAGTTGACCAAGATGTGAACCGCACCTAAACTTTGAGTAATTTCTTGATAAAACTTCACAACTTCTTCATCCTGGGTTACGTCAACTGCATAACTGTGCAAACTTTCAGGTTTGTTTTCGAATTTTTTAATTAATTCGTTTAATTTTATTGAACTGTTGTCAACTGCCGCAACCTTAACAATTTAAATTTTGTGATAATCTGCTCGTTGTGTAATAGAAAAAGGTTACCTTTAAATTTGCTTTTAATAGTTCTTCAACCACTGCTGATCCAATGCCACCTGCGGCACCGGTGACAACAGCAACTTTTCCTCTCCAACGATACATTGATAAAGCAGTTGCAAGAATGTCGATGCACTGAATGCTCTGTAGATGTGTCTTCTGAAATATTGTGTTTTTATACCTACGCAAATAAGTGGTCGATTAAGAAGCGACTTTTCTAGCGCAATTGTACCAATGGGTAAAACTGGTATATACAAGGCAAACTGGCCTGAAATAAAAACAGTCTACTTAAATATATCAGATACATTCATAAACAATGTTTATTTGATACCACAATCAGCCACTCAGTGACATAATAGTTATTTATGCAACTAGTGAGTGAAGTAAATTTTATTAATTAATATAATCTTTTTGTTGAGCGTATTGTTACTTTGAATGGGTGATTAAAATCGACAATAACTCAAATTTGCACTACTGATTACACGGCGATTATGTACAAAATAAATCCGGCACAACTTGACTGTACTCTCGAGGACGGAACTGGCTGAATAATCCTCGTTCCCGAAGATGAGCTCTATTTAAAGCTATACTTCCCTTCTGGAAGTTCCGCAGTCGAGGTCTTTCTGGATTGCCTATCGCGACTTCCGCTTCCAGGCTTTTCTCCGGGCGCCGTCACCGACAGTGACATCATCGCCGTACATACTAGAACCCATAGTCGTCTTACCGGGGCGGCGTATGGGTTTCTTTCGTAACAGTACGTTATGTGGATTCAATTCAATAATAAATAAATGAAGGAATCGTATATGATAGTGTTATTTGTAATTTTTCGTATATAAGTAACCATTTTTTCTAATACAAAAGAGTCACTAACAAATACTGTTTGAATGAGAAATAGATTTAATTAATTCCGAAACATTTTTTTGTGGTGCCCAATCTGATCCAAATCCTTAAGTTATAAATATTAACAATCTCAGACATCCTCAGTATTTTTTACCTGAGTTTAAATAAAGTTCAAGAAAGAATCTGACAAGTAATGGCTAATTTTTATGCGCAACTAAGCACATCACAAGAAACAAATGTGGGAGGGCGATTTATAACCCTGGAATCGTGTAGCTGGTGAATATAAGAGTATATAATTCATTTTTAAAAAAGAAGTGGGATCTATCTAAACTAGAGAATGGTACGGAAGCGTAGAATGGTCAGGTGGAATTTTTTTTGGAAAAAACTCTACATGCCGAGATTAAACTCGACATATCGAGAAAAAACTCGACATGTCTAGAAAAAACTCGACATGTTGAGAAAAAACACGGCATGTCGAGAAAAACTCCACATGTCGTGATTGAACTCGACATGTTGAGAAAAAACATGACATGTCGAGATTAAACTCGACATGCCGACATTAAACTCGACATGTTGAGAACAAACTCGACATGTCGAGTTTAATCTCGACATGTAGACTTTTTAATGACATGCCAGTAGTAAATGCGTCTCATTAGGCAACTTTCACCACTAATTACCCGCGCCTCTAATTACCAGCGCCTTAATAACTAGCCCACCAAAATGACCACTGTATTAAAAGTGCCGCCTGCTCTAATGAATTAATGAATCTATATTAATAAAAATGAATCGCCGAAATGTATGTACGCCCATAACTTCAGAACGGCTGCACCGAATCGGACGATTCTTTTTTTTACGTGTTCCTTATCGTCAGGACAAGGTTTATATGTAAGAAAATTTATAAAAAATAAGACGGCTAAAAGATTAAAAAAAAAAATAAAAATTTTGCATGGGAATCTCCACTTCGAATGAATTTGAATAGTTGGCGTTTCTGACGGACCTGTCGCCTAACTGACGTGTCATACAAAACTATTTCTTCCGTGCGATTGTGAAAAGTATTATTGCATTTTAAGTCGTTGTTTGTTTTTTCGTAACAAGAAACGTCGTTTATTTTAAGAAAAGTGTTCGTTAAAGTGAATTTAGTTACGCATTGCGAAAGTTTCTTATTAATTTTGATCTTCCATTCTATTTACGTATATTCACTTTGTTGGTTTCGACAAAACCTCAAACTTTACCGTTATTCGAGGATTTAATTTGAAATTTTCAATATTTTAAAATTCTCAAGACAAAATTTACAGATTTGATTGACGGTGAAAATAATTCTGTGTCGTTTTATGCCGAGAAGACGACAAGCTGACATACGTCCACGAAGTCAATCAAATGTGCGACGAACTACCTCAGGTGCAAATCGCAATCATTTATTTCATGGGTAATTCGGATACGGAAGTTGATCAGCGTTGTGCTCATAATCAACATAATAGTCAAACATTGAAGCGAGACATTGGGTGGTATGAATAAAACTGAGTAGATACTCATATTCGAAGTACGAAGTACCTACTTGCCAACATTGTATCTCCCCGGACACAAATTGAACATCTACGTGTTTTGTGAGCATTTAATCTAAAAATGAGCATCGGTGTGGCAAATGACTATTTCTCCTCATAAATAATAAATTAAATGTAATATATTTTTGTTTCCTTAATAATACAAAGTTAACAAAGTTAGTTGAGTTACAAAAGTCTCTTTTGCTCCACGTTGGCCACCAACGAGCGATTTTCAAGATTTTTGTGAAACTTTGCTGGTTTTGAATTTGAATTTCCTGTCCTCGATAGTTGATGCTCAGCAAGAACCACGGGAAGGTCTGGAGCAGATCTCGCTAGGAAAGGAGAGGGCTAGGATTTGTTAATGAGGGATAGAACGTTATACAGTACAATACAATGGAAATACAATACAGGTACCTACAATCTAACTACAATACAGAATACACTACAGATACAGATACAATTCAGATACAATACAAATGCAAAGTTAGTAGCCAATACACCACCGGAAGAAATTGCACCAAAAATTGAGAATGTTGCAAAATGAAAACCCAAGCAAGCACACCCATGGAACTCGGAACGAAATCTATTGGTCGCAGCGCTCACACGCCTAAGGGAGAACGCAGCCGCATAAATCCAAGGCCGACTGACCTCATCCTTATAGGAGATGCGACCCAGCGTCTAAGGGCCAACAATACCCCCCCAGGCCAAAGCGTCTGACGACATGGAGAATTCAGACTCTGAACCAAAGTATGCACTGTTGCAAAATGAAAACCCAAGCAAATGCACCATGAAAACAAAGCATTTGCACCACTGGAGCCAAATTGGCAAGACCCAAGTTAAGTTAGTAACACATACAATATACAGTACAAAATGCTTAAATTACAAAAGTTACAATATACAAATTTCTCCACGTTTGCCACCAAAGAGCGATGACTTTGCTCGCTCGTTGCTGTTGCCCAGCAAGAACCAAACAATACGAGGAGGTCTGGAGTGCGTCTTGCCATTAAAAGAGAGGACTAAGGTTTGATAGCATGGGTGAAGGACACCGTATTTTGTAAATTTGGACGCCGTACTTTAAAAATGATGAATACGGTATTTTGTGAATTATGAACGCAGTACTTTGTATATTCTAAAGGCGTACTTTATCAGTCCTGAATGCATGTTATTAACAACATATTTAAAAAAAAATCGGGCATTTTTGGAAAAATATCTACTTTCCTTCACAGCACTTAACAAAAAACATTTTCGCTAATATTTATTAACAATAAATTAGAAATTCGCGAACATGTGCTACTTTTAACCGAAAACGAAGCTCCAATGTTGCTGCTACCAGACCGGAATCAAAACTGAACAGAAAGGATCGAAAATGTGACCTTTTATCTGGTAGCTCACGTGACAGTGACATCATCGTACGTCACGATGAGATTGCAAAAATTATTTTTCATATTTTAGATCAGAAATTGTACATTTTCGGGGTTAATGCAACAACGTTTAAACAAACTAATTTGTTTTTACTAAACTCGTGTTCTTAGGAAAACGGATTTCGGTTTAATTATCATATATTGATAGTTATCATATTTGAACATTATGAATTGTATTAATTATGTTTAAATTTTATTTAATTATATCGCGAAAATGTATAGCTTTGACCCTCCAACTTCAATCGTTTCGAAAATTTATCCAAAATGTAAACATTGTCGACTAAACGAATCACGGAATCCGATAAATTAAAACTGAAGTCGTACTTACCCTGTTTTCGGTCCTTTTCGGAAAAATATCCATTTTCGTTCGTGTTCACAGCACTAACACAACATATTGTCCGCAATATGTATTAATAATAAACTAGAAATTCGCTAAAACGCTCCACTTTTACGCCGAAATGAAGCGACGATCTTGCCGCCATCAAACAGAAATTAAAACTGAACACAAAGGACCGAAACACGTGACCTTTATACAAGTAGCTCAGGTGACATTGACGTCATCGTACGTCACGATGAGATTGCAAAATTTATTTTTCATATTTTGGCCGGGAAAATGCACATTTTCGGGGATAATTACATTGTTTAAACAAATTGATTTGTTTTTAATAATTTCAGGCTTGTAGGTTTCGGTTTAATTATCATACATTGATGCTTATCATATTTAAACATTATAAATGATATTAATTATGTTTAAAATTTATTTATTTATGTCGTGAAAATGTATAGTTTTGATCAACCGATTTCAATCGTTTCGAAAATTTTCCCAAAATTTAAATATTGTCGAGTGAACGAATCACGGAATCCGATAAATTAAAACTGAACTCGAACTTACCCTGTTTTCGGTCCTTTTCGAAAAAATATCCATTTTCGTTCGTGTTCACAGTACTAATACAACACATTTTCACTAATATTTAAATATATAAATTAGAAATTCGTGGAAAGAGCCCTACTTTTAAGCCAAAACGGATGTTGCTGCCACCAAACCGAAATTAAAACTAAACGCAGAGGACCGAAAAATGTGACCTTTTATCAGGTGGCTCACGTGACAGTGGCGTCATCGTACGTCACGATGAGATTGCAAAAATTATTTTTCATATTTTCGCTGAGAAATTGTACATGTTCGGGGTTAATTTAACAATGTTTAAACAAACTAATTTGTTTTTGCTAACCTCGTGTTCTTAGGAAAATGGTTTTCGGTTTAATTATCACATATTAATAGTTATCATATTTTTTGTACGACCATTGCTTTTTCGATCATTTACCGTACAGGTTTCCATAGCAGTAAGTTCAGTTTACGGGTTGCTACGACTAACAACTAAGAGGCGAACGGTAAGTAAATTACTTACTGTTCAGCTGAACGGTAAGTAATCCTGCATTCAAGATTTTTTTATTTTAAATTCCGTGCGTGTTCGACTTCGACATTTTCGCTTTCAGAATCACTCATGACTGATATTTTAAGCAAATAAATCACTCACTAAAAGTCGCGGAATGAAAATTAACTCGACATCAAGCCAGATCAAACCTAAATCGACAGCGGTCAAAATGGAAACTGATTTTTAAAATTGTTGTTTATATTAATCGAAACCATAGTAACAAATTTTAAATTAAAAAACGACCTTGTTGATGTTTGATATAAATTCTTTCAATTTATGAATTTGATAAAAAGACGCAAATCTTTTGATGGTCGTACAAAAAATAGTATAAGCATCACGAACGTTAAGGGGGTTTACTGGTTACCGTTCTCAATACTTAATATACTATAAACATTTTGAATTATATTAATTATGTCATTTCTGCAACTCTTGAGTTATTTCTAAAATAAATTGACTGATCCATACATTTTTTTGTCACTGTAAAAGCAAATCTAAAAAATATGAATGCAATGATAAATTTACGAAAATATACTGATAATATTTTGCAAATTTTAGATAGGATTTATTCGGCAAAATCTTGAGATGACGTCATCAAGTTTTTGGGCTTGATAAACAGATATATTATGATTAAAAACGTACCATGTCAAACAGTAACTTCAAAACGTCTGCAATAAATTTAAAAATTTAGTTTTGCAATTCTTAATTCAATCAATAAAATAAACTGACTCAGTGATTAATTTTTTTGAGACACCCCCTATAAGCAAAACTAAAAAATATGAATGGAATGATAAATCACAAGTATAGTCTCATCCTATTTTGGATATTTTAAAAAGGATTCATTTGGCAAAATTTTGGGCTGACGTCATCAATTTTTTGGAGGAAGTAAGTATTATTTTCAATACAAATTTATTATGCTTATCAGATGTTTAAATCATCTGCAAGATTTCAAAGCATTCGGTTTGCAGATTCAAAATTAAGTTGTAGGTGAAACGAAGTTCACGGGGTCAGCTAGTTATATGTATAAAAATATTAAATTACGTAAGACAAATTTCAACAAAAAAAATCCGTGACTGCAGGATCTTGTGTCAACAAACGATCAGTCAAAGATGGAATCGTATTTTTGTAATAACCAAACTAAAAACAAATACATTTTATTTTATTACATTTAGGCCAGAAGGGGTCCCTTAACTTGGTCCAGCATCACAAGCATATCCGTATAATAATAAAAGTTAGGTGCTCTGTGGTATAAACCGTCTCTGCACAAGTACGGACATATTAGTAATAGTAATTTACACAACTAGTTCGGGATAGCCTGCTTCCTGCATGGACGGTTACGGAAATGCAGGAAGCAGGCTTCACGAACGTGTTTGGTACAAAATTTTTTGCAACGAATAAACGTTTAAACCAAAAAGATTAATTGTGAGTTATTTATAAACAATGACGTTGACAGCGGCGTAAACACTTGCATTTTGACATTTCCGGACTATTTTAAGGTTACCATGGCAACGGAAAGAAAAAAGCACGTGTGCGAGAAGTTCGACCTCGCATGCTGGTGAATGCCGCAGTTATCAAAAAAGGTCATAAGTGCAAAAAACATATTTACAGCATATTATCAACGGGAATAAAGCTATCTGAGCAACATGCGTAGAATTAAAAATGTTAATGTTTTATACATCGGAAGAATGTCACGGAGACATTTGTTTGATTTGAATGAATTTATCGCCTCAAAACAGATGACTAAAATTATTCAAATTTCTAGTTCCCCGGTCAAACATTAGAAACCCTTTATGTTTTTATACTGACATTTCTAGAACAAATGTATATTTACAGTTTCTCTGTTTGACTCTCACGTATGCTATGTTACGCTTGTCGTCTTAAATTAAGAATGCTTATACATAACCGATTTTCAGTTGCCTCTCCTAGTATACGCCGGCGCCGTATACGTGAGTAAATTGTTTCGTTATTTTATTGATTATTACAAATCAATATTCAAAACGACCCAATTCATTTTCCTGAAAATTTGGGAATACAATAATCTTATTCTTAGTATTACACTACATCTATCCCAACTGACATACGTGTCCTTGCAAAAATGTTGATGACGTCATCGCAATTTTTTTTTAAATTCCCACTTCAAAAATGTAAGGAGAAAAAAAAACACAATAGGCATGCAGTCGTCAAGTTTCCGACAGCGAGGGAAGTACTGTCTAAACTCTTTAGACCAATTTTTTGGAACGGAAAAGTAAACATATTTTAATCAAAAATTCATCATGCTTATCATAACTGTAAACCATCTGCAAAATTTCAAAGCACTCAGCTTTGCAGATTCCAAATTAAATTGCAATATCTTGTTTCATAATTTTGATTTTTTTTTTCTAAAAATCTGGACTTTTCGGGCAAAAACTCAATTCGGAGTTATAAACTACATGTGTAGGACTATGTTATTTTTTACGATTTAGAACCCATTTACTATTTGCATTTTTTTTAAGTGACGTCATCACATTTATTGGTGGGGATGATTAAATAAATTTTGGTTAGCGTTTTACCATCTATGATATTCCTAATATAAATACAAAATTTGACAACAATCGGCCCAGTACTTTCTAAGATTATCTGTGTAATAAAAATACGGGATGGCAGACAGACGGACGGACAGATAGACAGACGGACACAGGAGACCTATTTCTTCGTACTGTAGGGGTTGTTGAAGGTCGAGAAAACGTAAAAGTAGAGGGTCGGTCGACGGACTCGATTACAATACTTCCTTCACTTACGCTCGGGAAGTAAAAAGTCTAAATGTCGAGATTAAACTCGACATGTTAAGTTTAAACTCGGCATGTCGAGTTTTTTCTCGGCATGTCGTGTTTTTTCTCAACATGTCGAGTTTAATCTCGACATATCGAGTTTTTCTCGACATGTCGAGTTTTCTCTCGACATGTCGAGTTTTTTCCAAAAAAAAATCCACCTGACCATTCTACGCTTCCGTAGAATGGCCAATAACCTACGTTGAAATTATTTCCTAGGCTTTCATAAATGTTTCGTACGTCTAGTCTCTAGTGAACTGTGAAATTTACAAATGCTGCAGATTTGTCACTTCTGCGTAATTGTAGACATTTTTATAGTGTTAACTATTATGGTTAGTATGGCACCTGTCAGAATCATTATGATGGAAAAACTTAGCAATCTCCCCCCGTGAAAAACATGGTTCTAAACATGGAAATTCTTACGATTATCTGGTTCCTGGAATGTTTCTGCGAAAATGTGTGTTTATTTGGTTGCCTATATCACAGACGAAAAAATGCAGGAAAGCATATAATATTATATGTATAATTATATTCATTCGTCCATGTTGAATACAATAATACCCTTACTATACGATTTTACAACGAGTTATGGCAAAAGAATGAAGGAAGAAGAAGGAACAATGATAAATTCCAACAAGACACAGTAGGAGAATATGACCCTAAAGAGATTTTAAGACATTTGAAAAATGTTTGAAATATAAGTAAGGTCAAAACACTAGAAGCTCCGAAGATTTTTTAGCATCTTTTCAACAATATAACGCCAGACGTCTCCAAGATTCTATAAAATTAAAAACAGTAAATAAGTAAAACACCAGGAATTCCTGAGAATCTTCCAGATCCATTCCAAAATAAAACAACAGGAGACCCTAAAATTCAAAAATCAAATAAAACACCAGCGGCTCTCGAGATTTTTTTCATTTTTTGTAATCGAGTCCCTCGGCCGACTCTCTACTTTTACGTTTTCGCGACCTCTCATAACCCCTAGAGTACGAAGAAAAAAGTCAAATTCGCTTACGCTCGGGAAGTAAAAACAAAAAGTTCGAACTATACTATAGATGGTATAACTTTCCCCCTTTACAAAGGGTGAAATAATAAATAAAGAATCATTGTCAAACTTTAATATAAAAAAAATACCAAGCCATACATCAACAGTGCATCCTTTATTCAAGTCCATTTTTCTCCAATAGGTTTAACACATATTTCATGCACCTGTAAACCAATTGTTATTATTATTATCACAATAAAATAAACACAGCTAAAAACAGAATAACTTAGATTTTGAGTTACGAACTCTAAGACCTGGTTTATAGAAACCGAAGTTAAAGTTACTTCGCGATTAACTTTTAATTGAGGTTCGTTGCTAGGCGACGTGCAGGTTTTAACCAATCACGAGCTACCATTCCACATTTTAATCCAGTGTTAAATTAATCGAGGATTAAATATTTAACTCGCGTTTCTATAAACCGGCCCTTAATTTTTTATATTGAATAATTAGAAAATTACGTATGTAATTTACCTGAACATGTGGTGGAGTCGAAAGAGTGTAGATAATAGAGTCTGCGATATCTTTAGGTTCTAAACCAGGCATCTCGTCATAACTTTCATCGAATGCATTATTTTTCGCAATCAAAGTGTTGACTTTTCCTGGGCAAATGCACTAAAACTTAAAACATAGCATACGACGTAACTTACTAAAATCTCTTACAGTAACTTTTATCTTAAGACCAAAACGATTCAGTTCTTGACGATAGCTTTCAGATAGTGCTCTCACTGCAAATTTGGAGGCTGAATAAACGTTGGTATCCGGAATATCAAGTACGGTACGTCCAGCAATACTACTAATGTGAACAATGTGACCATCAATTGTGTTCTCTCTCATAATTTTGACGGCTTCTCTTGTCATTATACACAAACCAAAGACATTTGTATCAAAAACGCTCTTCCAGTTTTCTGTTTTACCATTGATAAGTGTATCGTGACGAGCAATTCCGGCACAGTTGATCAGAACATTCACTGGACCTAAAGTTTTAGTAATGTCTTGATACAGCTTTATGACTTCTTCGTCCTTAGTTATGTCAGTAGCATAGGAGTGTAAATCTTCAGTTTTGTTTTCGAATTTTTTGGTCAGTTCTTCGAGTCTTGTGGAACTGTTGTCAACAGCTGCAACCTTGATAGTTCTCGATTTTCTATATTGTTCTCATAGTACTAGAAAAACCTTACCTTTAATTTTGCCTTGAGTAATTGTTCAACCACTGCCGATCCAATACCCCCTGCAGCACCGGTAACAACAGCGACTTTATCTCTCCAACGGTCCATTGTTCAGACAGTTGTGATGGTCGTACTCTAAATGAGTGCTAGAATATCGTGTTTTTATACATAAATAACAGATCGGTTACGCAAAATTTGAAACCCGGTGCCACAAAAAATTGATAAAACTGGTATCTATACAAGGCAAACTGGAAGCTGGGAAGAGCAAACACGACGGAGATATTTCAAAGCGATTTACTTGCCCTCAGGATCAGCACAAAAAAATTGTTTATATCTTTGTGACAGTATATTTCGTGTAGTACTCTAGCTGTTATGAAATATAATCTTTTTACTAATCAATTTTCATTTAACACAAAACGGGATAGGCAGATAGAAGGTGTCAAAATTGACTTTTAGACATGAAATTGGTGTGGTGTGGATTAGTAATGAAAATAAATGTAAAACATTGTATAGTTTTTATTAGTAAAATAAAATAGGGGTCCACCTATTTAACGATAAATGTGTTCTTAGCTCAGCTGAATGTTTCTCCAACAGGTTTAATACATATTTCATGTACCTGTAAATTCACAAAGACTATTATTAAGCTTACAGATAAAAGCAGGCATGCATCCAAAAATAAAACATCGTTCATTTTGACTTACCTATTAGTGACTTTTGTATTAAATAAATAGAAATAATTTTGTTTTTCCGATTTTACCTGAACATGTGGTGGAGTCGAAAGAACGTAGAGGATAGAATTTGCGATATCTCTAGGTTCTAAACTAGGCATCTCTTCAACCGCTTTATCATATGCTACATCAGTTTTCACAATTAAAGTATTGACTTTTCCTGGGCAAATACACTAAAACCTGGGACTTACTACTCGTAGCGACTTACTAAAAATTCTTACAGTAACTTTTATCTTAAGACCAAAACGATTCAGTTCTTGACGATAGCTTTCAGTTAATGCCCTTACTGCAAATTTGGAAGCTGGGTAAACGTTCATTTCTGGAAAGTCAGGCACATTACGACCAGCAGCACTACTAATGTGAACGACGTGACCATCAATTTCGTTCTCTCTCATAATTTTGACCGCTTCTCTTGTCATTATACACAATCCCAAGACGTTTGTGTCGAGAACGATCTTCCAGTTCTTTGTTTTACCGTCAATTAGTGTATCTTGACGAATAACTCCAGCACAGTTGACCAAGATGTGAACAGGACCTAAACTTTCAGTAAGTTCTTGGTAAAACTTCACAACTTCTTCATCTTGGGTTACGTCAACTGCGTAAGTGTGCAAACTTTTAGTTTTGTTTTCAAATTTTTTGATTAATTCGTTTAATCTCGTTGAACTGTTATCAACTGCCGCAACCTTGAAAATTTAAATTTTGTGATAATCTGCTCGTAGTGTAATAAAAAATTATTACCTTTAGATTTTCGTTTAGTAGTTGTTCAACCACTGCTGATCCAATACCACCTGCGGCACCGGTAACAACAGCAACTTTTCCTGTCCAACGATCCATTGATAAAGCAGTTGCAAGAATGTCGATTCACTGAATGCTCTGTAGATGTGTCTTCTGAAATATATGTAGTGTTTTTATACTTGTGCAAATAAGTGGTCGATTAAAAAACGACTTTTCTAGGGCAGTTGCACCAATGAGTAAAACCGGTAAACAAGGCAAACTGGTCTGAAGTAAAAACAGCCTATTTATAAATATATCAAATATATTCATAAACAATGTTTATTTGCTACCACAATCAGAGAGATAACACATAAAATGTTCTCATCTTCTTAAGTTCTATATTTTAAGTTTTATTGAACATTAACTGAAATAAATTTTTTATTTATTTAGATTAAAAAGATGGAGAATGAAATAGGAAGATATAAAATACAAAATAACAAAAATACCTTACAAATGTGAGACAATGAGCTTCCAAACACTAGAAATTTTGTTAATTAATATAATCTTTTGATTGAGCATAGATAGTGTGATTAGTAATTTTACTACTATATAAATATATATACATAAATAAGTAACCATTTTCTAAGTTAATAAAATATATACCTTTATATAGAACAGTGTCACTAACAAATACTGTTTGGGTTGGATAACAATGTGCCGTTTTTACCATTTAGACTATTAACCATGGTTCTTAGATGTTTCCGCGAAAATGTGTGTTTATTTGGTTGCCAATATTATCACAGACGAAACGAAATCATGCAGAAAAGCATACATATAATCTTCTATAATTTTAAGATATTTCAAAAAAGTTTGAAATATAAAATATAACAACGGTCAAAAGACTAGAAGCTTTATCATCTTTTCAAAAATCAAACATAGGATTCTCAAGGATTCTTTCAAATACTTCCAAAAACACAACACCAGAGGTCTCCAAGATTCTTTCAAATTCTTCCAAAAACTAAATAGCATTCTATCAAATTAAAAAAAGTAGAGGCCCCTGAGACTTTTTCTGTTTTCTTTTTTTTTTAAAAAAAACGAAGGATCTCCAAAATTCTTTTTTTTTAATAGAACACCAAGCGCCTCGAGGGACATTTTTTTTTTTCAGAAATAGAACACCAAGTATCCCACACATTATTTGAATTCTTTCATTTTCAAAAATTATGCACCCAGGATTGCCAAAATGCTTTCAAATTCTTCCAAAAACAGCATACTAAAGACCCACAAGATTCTTTTTGCACTTTTTGACTTTATTGTTTATAAAATAATTATTTTTTACCTACAGAAGTAGTAAATTTGTCCCATTTACTGACAACAAATTATTATTTGCCTAGAAAAATAAAGTTAATAAAATTGTAATTTTTTTCCTTCAACCGAGAGAAAAAAAAACATGTTATAAAAATCACATCAAGGGAATAGCTAATAATAATTAACATGTTTTTCTAATCTTTAGGATAATATACTGTTCTGGGTATAGGCAATCAGTTATACAGTGAACACTGCAGGTTACATAACATCTTATATTAAATGACATTTAGCTAACATTTTTACTTGTTATTTAAGTACACTTGAAACAACTTTTTTTTTCAAATACAAATAACAATGGTAATTAATTTTTACCCATTTATTTATGAAGAAAATTTTGACCAGAATTATTGTAACTTTTTTTTTATCAAAAATTGTTCTCATCACTGCTACTTTTCAAATAATTTCTTAAAAAATGTTGCATCTAAAAGGGTATAATAAAATATTCACCATTATACTATTATACTCAAATCAAATAAAAAATCAAGTTTAAAAGGTCTGAATTGACAAGTATAAGTTAAAAATTTACCTACTTCTGCACAGTTACTACTTTTCCTGTAATGTCCTAATCTAAAAGATTAGATTCTATTTATCAGTTTTGTTGTCTTCTGCATTAATGTTTCTAATTTAAAGTATGTTAGTGTAGCTTTTCTGTTTGGATTTAATGTCAGATGTGATAAACTTTTATTAATTCAGCGACGACCTAAATACCGTTTTCCGATCTTGATAAAATCTCTTGTACTCTATATTGTGTGTTTAAATTTGTTGCTTGTTATATTCACATAATTTTATGTGAATAACGCTGCCTGTAATTATTTGTTTGAAGGATTAGAAAAACCGTAATGCTTTCAATTAACTAGGTTTAAATACGTTATTCACTACTTTTTGCATCGATAAAGTCAATCAGTGACATATTTTAAATTGTTAATTACCAGCATTCCTATTGATTTTCAATCAAATTAACGACACAACACAGGATAAATCGCAGACAACGAATAAATTCTTGCTTGGAGTAAATGTAAACATTTTCTAAAAATATAGTTCATTTCGGTGGAAATAACTTAGCTTTGAACTTGATCATCACCTTCCTTAATGTAAACTTCTGAGCCATTTATTTAAATTTCGTAAAAGTATTACGAAACAAAAGTAATTCTTTCAGCATTAGTGGCGTTGGTATGAAGGATTTCAGTGTTAATTAAATTAGATAAAGATCTTATTTCTGATATAAATCTCAGCAGTTTGTTTGCATGGTACTTCACAAAGAATAAATTAAAATATTTTAATAATAAAAAAATATAATAAAAAAGTAGAGATTATTTATTTGGTGTATTACAACCCCACAGATATAAATAATAAAAAGATAACAGGAGTGGATACGTACTATAAAAGACCGTCCAGTTGTTGTTGAATTAGTCTCATCGTTTCTGTACAGTGTATACAATCGAACAAGTAAGCTCTACGATTTATTTTTGTGTTGTTAATTACTATGTATATTTGTAGCAAAAATGAAAACCTTCGCTTTATTTTTCATTTTCGCCCTAATTTGTGCGACCACTTTCGCCAAATACTACCAACCCAACATCTTCGCGGGACACCAGCGTGTCCTGGACCAGCGAACCGAACCTGCTGACATTTTCAAAGCCCTAGGCGACTTCTTTAACAAATTGAGCAGCGCGAATTCAGGCTAGAAGAGACCAACGATAAATAATTTCAGAAGAAAAGCTCCTGTCATTTGTCCACCTACTATCACGGAAGTAATAGCGTATCATAACCATATTCAAAAGAAATAAATTTCATCCCTGTCAGTTTGATTAACCACGCCATGATTTATTTCCCCTAGCATTCATAATCTTTCTGGTGACCAGTAATGGACAATCCCATTCATGATACCTTTAACCTCTAGCGGTGTAAATGTCAGTTACGAATTTAAAAGAACAAGAGACCATGTAAGGCTGCTAACGGGTGTTTGCCACTCCCAATGGGAGTTTTGTCGAAGGGTCATTTCGATGGTTTAATTTATCAAATTAACGTGTTTATCTTAGCGTGTCACTACTTTAAAATATAAATAAACATTACCAGACTGCAAACAATGTTGAATAAATTTGATAAAAATTTAGAAAATATTTGGACAAAAACGGTGTCAATGAAATTACTTTCGGCAGTGTGCAAGTAACTGTTTTATTTACTTGATTAAAACAAACTGAGTCCACAAGGGTCTAACTTGGGTCCCCTGCCTTTGTTCATATTTATCAACGATTTATTAAATTTCAAAAATATCTTTTCGCATCTATATATTCTATGCTCCCAAATTATAAACAAAACATTGACAATGACCGCAACCAGTTCCATAACTGAGACCATTAAAATAGTTTGAAAGCTCTGAGCGTCTACAAGGACTGGAATTCCACCATGAATCATAACATAACTCTAATTGATAGTCTGACGTAACAATCGAGGACATCTTCGGATCGTCCTGGGAATGATGTCAATCTAATTTTTATTGAATTGACAAAAGACGTTTAAAAGACCACCCTCTGAGGTGTAATAAGCGTTCGAACGAGCAGAGATAAAGATCTTAAATTAACCCAGAGCCCCAGTTAGACCTAGAATGATATAATCGTCGACTTCGTGCCTGGATTTCTAAGGCGGATGGAAGTTCGCGCACGAACGGCTGATTTTGACATTTAGGAACAAAAGATCGGTACCGTTAATGACGATGCTCCGGGTTCACTGATTTTCTTAGGAAAAAATTCAGCGCTGAGGGTGACGAATTTCATGCAGAATCGTGGACCAAGTGACATATATTGTTTTAATGGATGATGATGCGCTGACCCAGTCTTCAACAAAGAGCTGGAGTTAAGTGTAATGAAGACAAGTCACGAAATGTGGAATCTGATTTTGACTGGTTTTGGTGATGTTGTTGTTTATGCGGATGTGGTTCTTATAACCTGTATCCATTTTGGGCAAAAGTCGATAACTACCTGATTTACACTTGCTTGATTTGTTCACGACGTGGTAAATGATGTGAAAGGTAAATCTTCCAATTTATGCCACAAGATGAAAAAACATTATTACAGTTTTTATGTAAAACAAATATTACGGTTTTATTATTCAACCCAATGAAAGTATTTTAAAATGTAAATACCGAGTTTATTGTTTTGCAATTAAATATTTGTTGGATCCATCTGAAGTCCGATTGTGCAATTGTCATAATCACGTTATAAAATTATAGTGGACATAAAAATAACGTTCTGAGTATATTTTTAGCCAAATTTTGAAAAATAATGTTATTTAACTATTGTTTTTTGATACACTAACAATGGATTTTTTCTACAAGTCGAACAGAAGAGTTAAGACAGAAAAATATATAATACAGGAAGGAAACGGTAAGGAAATTGAAAAGGGAGTCAGGGAACGAAAATGGAATAGGGTTGTTTATGGTGCTAAAAGGACTTAGAGGAGAAAAAACGTCAGGTCAGGTTAGGTTAGGTTAAGTTAGGTCAGGTCAAGTTGGGTCAGGTTAGAAATATATTATTATTATCATTAAAGGTCGATTTTTAAACTTGCGATTCGTCTCAAAAACAAATTAGGTAACATTCCGCCCTTTTTTCTTAATATGTGTGTTGTGTGAATCTGTAATCTTCTTTTTACAACAAGAAAGGTAAAACATTTTTGTAGGAAAGTATTGATTTTGTAATTAGACCCCGCCCCTCTGTCTGACAACGACTGAAAAATTCATCACAATTGAGCTTGGGATCTTAATTTTTGGCTTATTTTTTTCTATATTGTATTCTTATAGAGAAATAAGGGTTTTACAATTAAGTTCCGCCCCCTTGGCTCACGACGAATAAAACAATCTTCACAATTGAGATAGGGCGGGTGGGCGGGGCTTATATTTTGCTTTTTTTCTTCATATACATAGTCGTCTTTTCAGGACAGAAACTTTAACATGTTTAAAATGGTAAATTCTTCCTGATCTAACAACAAATGAAAAATTAGTCACAATTGAGAAATAAGATCGAGGCGGGTATGGGTGGGGCTAATCTTTGGCTTTATTTTCCTTAATTTTTCGATTCGATCCCTTCTTTCTTTTTTTCCAATTTTTGATTCATTAATTTTTTTCAAGTTGTAAGTTTCCCGATTTGAAATAGTTTTTCAATGTTTCGATTTTAAGTTTCTTCAGTTCTTCAACTTGCAATTTTTCATTTTTACGCTTTTTCGATTTTGCAATTTTTTGTTTTTTTAGTTTTTTGATTTTTCAGTTTTTCGATTTTTCGAATGGAAAATAAGGAAAAACTATAAAATTGTAAAAACGAAAAAGTACGAAATGAGAACTTTGAAAAATCTACAAATTGACAAATCGAAAGATTAAAAACTGAGAAACTTAAAAATCCAAAATATGCAAAATCAAAAAAGCCAAATATCAAATCGAAATATTGCAAATTAAAGAAATTTTAGACATGTTTTAAGTTTCTTGTTGTCGAAATAAGTCTGCACATATTAAGAAAAAAATGCAAAATGTAGCCCCGCCCACCCGCCCTATCTCAATTGTGATGATTTTTTTTTATTCATCGTGAGCCAAGAAGGCGGAGCTTAACTGCAAAATCCTTATTTCTCTACGAGAAATTCATGTGTTTGAGGATGGTGTTATTCAAGGAATACTATGTATATTAGGAAAATATTAAAACCAAAGATTAAGCCCCACCCACACCTGTCCTGATCTAAATAATAATAAAGTTTTCATTCAGACATAGGGGCGGAGTCTATTTGCAAAATCCTTATTTCCTTACAAAAATTTAGCATTTTAAACGTGTTTTAAGTTTCTAATAATAAAGAAAATCATCACAATTGAGACGAGGTGGGTGGGCGGGGTTAATAATTTGCCCATTTTTCTTAATATGCGTAGCATTCTTTGAACAACACGATACTCAAAAACATGTTTTTAATTTCTCGTATAGAAATAGGGATTATGCAGTTAATCTTCGCCCCTTTGGCTCACGACGAATGAAAAAGATCATCACAATTGAGATAGGGCGGGTGGGCGGGGCTACATTTTGCCAAAGAATACTATGCACATTAAGAAAAAAGACAAAATATAAAATATAAACCCCGCCCACCCACCCCATCTCAATTGTGATGATCTTCTTTTATGCTTATAAACTTAAAACACGTTTAAAATGGTTAAATTTTTGTAAGGAAATATGGATTTTGCAATAAGGCTCCACCCCTAGATCTGCTAACGAATGAAAACTGCATTACTATTTAGATCAGGGCAGGTATGGGTGGAGCTTAACATTTGGCTTTAATTTTTTCTTAATATACATAGTATTCTTTGAACACGATACTCAAAAACATGTCTTACATGGTAATTCCTTGTAGAGAAATAATAAGGATTTTGCAATTAAATTCCGCTACTTTGGCTCTCGACGATTAAAAAAAATCATCACAATTGAGGTAGGGCGGGTGGGCGGGGCTTATATTTTGCATTTTTTCTTAATATACATAGTCGTCTTTACAAGAAATTTAAAACATGTTTAAAATGGTAAATTCTTCCAGACAAATATGGATTTTGCAGTGAAGCCCCCCCTCTCGATCTGACAACGAACGAAAAATTCATCACAATTGAGAATTGAGATCGGGGCGGGTATTGGTGGGGCCTAATCTTTGGCTTTACTTTTTTCTTAATAAACATTGTATTCTTTGAACAACACGATCCTCAAAAACATGTTTTTAATTTCTCGTAGAGAAATAAGGATTTTGCAGTTAAGCTCCGCCTTCTTGACTCACGGCGAATAAAAAGAAATCATCACAATTGAGATAGGGCGGGTGGGCGGGGCTACATTTTGTCTGTTTTTCTTAATATGTGTAGACTTATTTCGACAACAAGAAACTTAGAACATGTCTAAAAGGGTAAATTTTTGTAGTAATGAAATTAAATCAACTTCAACGTCAACAGCAAGTTTATAAATCCCACTTAAATGTTGGAAACTGATGGTTTTTCCTGGATTAGAATATTTTGTATTACTATTATTCCTAACATCAGAAAGTGAAATAAATAGGAAGGAAATTAGACAGGGGGTCATGGGAGCGGTGTTTGAAAGACAAAGGGAAAGAAGAAAATGAAAAAAGGTTATTTATGGTTCTAAAGGGACTTAAACGGGAAAAAATGTCAGTTCAGGTTGAGTGAAATCAACCCACTTCAGATCAGGTCAGGTCAGCTTATGTCACATGTGCTCAAGTCAGGTCAGGTCAGGAAATTAAAGTGGGAGTTATGGGAAGAATAGAAGAAAGAAAATGAAAAAAGGTTACTTTTGGTCCTAAAAGGGCTTAGATGGGAAAAAATATCAGGTAAGATCACGTCAGGTCATGCTTGGTCACATCAGATCATGTCAGATCATGTTAGGGCACATCAGGTCATGTAAGGTCAGTTCAGGTCAGGTCAGTTTAAGTAAAATCAAGACAGACAAAAGGTACCGTGAGTCAAAAATAAAGACGAAAAATCATTGAAAGGTAAATTAAAAAAACGGATAATACGTAAATTATTCGCTTTTGAGTTAAAAAAATTGCAAGGTTGACAAAACGGGAAATTAGCAGGTCTGACGCAATTTAGACAGAATTTCCCTCTCTCCTCACATACAATTCAACAAATCCCGCTTCGATAAAATTTTATTTCGGGAAATATTTTTTTTGTGAGAACCTCTATAAGTTAAAAAATATATATGTATATAGTCATAATGTTAAAAAAAAAACGCCGCGTGTGTTAGGATTAAAGGTCCTTGTTCAATTCTATTTTTTTTTTGAGAAAGTCTCCTTACGGAAAAACTCAAGGTAGATTCATAAATCGCAAGTACAGGAGTATGCTATTTTACAAAATTTAAAGACCATGTATTATGTAAAATTGACAGTGACGTCATCGAATCGCTGGTGGGACTAGACAAATTTTGGTTAGCGTCTCACCATCTACACAATACTCCTAATATATATGCGAGTGTAAAATTTAACAACAATCGGTGCAGTAGTTTCGGAAATTATCTGTCTATTAAAAATCGACACAGACAGATGACAGATAGACAGACGGAAACAGGAGATCGCCATTCTTCGTGTTGTAACATTTCCTTAGTGTACGTTCGGGAAGTAAAATTGGGATACTCTGAATTGTGCGGACAAAATATTGGAAACAGACTCAATCTTATGATTGTGATGGTGATTTCGACAACAACATTTTCAGGAATTCCTGCAAAGAATCGCTTCCACTGTTCTTTACATTTTCAGGAATCTTGACAAATCGCATTTTTTCGGTACCCACAAGCTAAAACGTAGACAGATTATAATCTAGTATTCGATTTACCTACAAGAGCAGAAACAACATCAATAAACAGGAATATGTAGTTCTATGAAATAAATAATTATTTAGAATAAAATTTGAAAAATGTTTTTGCTTGTACGAATTTCTTAAAAAAGTTAAAACAATTCTCCGTGTTTTTTAATCCGCATACAGATTAAACGCACACCGTTTTCCGTTGCGTACAACAAAGAACTAACACTTTCCTCTGCCGCATCTGCCTGAAAATTCGAACTCGCGCGAAACAAAGGGGAAAGTAAAAGTCCATTCACAATTACGCTTTAAAAAAATCGAGACGTTACCAAAAGATAAAGCGGGAACCAGATTACACGATTTTGAGACGCATTTATTCATTGAGCCATTGTATACTACCAAAATAAATAAATTAGCATGGATTTTACAACCGCACGTCCCAATTAAGCAACACTTACGACCGTTAATCTCCAATACGAAGTCGTAGGAGAAAAAAGTAGGATAATAACCTACACGAAGACAAATTGGTATCTCCAAACAACAATAGACAATAATACGTCATTTTTGAATGGCACCGAGGACACGTGACGTTTAAACTCAATTTAATTATTGTTCGGATAGAGTTCATGTACTCCAGGTAAACACGCACTACCGGGTATAAAAAAGGATCGATAGAATAGAGGAGCGCCGTCTGGACTACATATTGAATTGCTTTGTAATGGGTTGTGTAATTTCTTTTGTCTGGACGCTGACCACGATAAGACCGACAAAGTTTGAGTCTTGAGGATTCAGTTGTATCAAGTGTTGCAAAAAATGGAAGAGAAGAAATTCTTTACGATAATAATTAATTTCTTTAGTTATTTTCTTCGGACAATTTACGTTATGGTTACATCCATGCGTACTAGCCATGAATGAGGTTATAGTAGTTAATTTAGTATCACCCATGAAAATTTAATGGTAACTTTCAAAAAAATAACATCATTACAAGAAAAGCAGCGATTACAAATGGACTGATGGAAATTTGGTTTGGTTGGCCTGACTCTATCGCTAGAGCGCGCATACTATGCGCAGTCAAAGGGTTGCCACACAAAGCAGGATATTTTCCAGTTTCACATTTAAAACCAGAAGGACAGTCACTACATGCATCACCCTTTATGTAGACCGATTGCCCTATTAGATTGCTTCCAGCTCCAGACGTGCTTCCATAGTTACATATAAGGCTATAACTCCAACGCAAGCTACGTGCTTGAGGGTTCCAGACCCTAGCACATCCTACAAGATCAGCATTCGCCCAAACCATTTGAGTGAAGCGCGCAATCTGAAATATCCATAATAATTTTTCTCTTCGTTGCGCCTTTAACAACTTACCTTAGTACTAGCAAAAGACTCTAAAGTTGCTTCACTGTCCACTGCATTAATTTCGTCGTACCTAACGACATAATGAAAGAAAATCACCACTAATAAAGTTAGTTACGTACCAGCTTGCTATCATTTTACCTAGATCCTCGTTTCGTACGCTACTTCCAGCTAAATTCTGACCCACTTGGTCACCTTTATGTTTATTTCTGCATTGGTCATGATGTTCCTTAAATTTGCCAGCCAGACAGGTTGCGATGTATTCCAGCTCCAGATCATAATTCATAACCCTCATATTAGAAGCTGGTTTGACAAATTCGTTGATTTCTTCTTCTTCTTGGCCAGATGCCACTTTGTTCCTGTATTCATTATGAATGTCGATAATTTTTTGGCGAAAAGCGTCCATATCTCTAAGATTAAGTTCTCGTGGTGGCTGAACCTTGCACTCGCACGCTGTATGTTTTTCCCCGTTGCAGCTGTGGTCGCAGTAGTTCACAGAAGATGGATCGAAAGAAGAGACGATATAAAATTTTAGTAAGAAAAGTATTAGTACCGAGAATGTCATTTTTCATTTTGCACACTGACAATTTTTGCATTTATTCGCTGTCATAGAAACTTCCTTATGTCGACTGATGGGTCCATTAAAACGGTTGATGGTCCCTGGGTCCCTCCAATTTATTATAATAATCGTCCGACTTGTCAAAAGGGAAAATATTAAAGAACTCCCTCACTTCGGGAGTTACAAGAATCTGTAATCGACACGGACACGTACAGACAGACGGCAGACAGGAAGACGGAAACGAGAGACTGATGTTTTTATACTTTAGGAGTCACGAAACGTTGAGAAAACATAAAAGTAGCTAGTCGTCTGATAGACTCGATTTCAATACTTCTTTAGCTTACGGTCGGGAAGTCAAAAAACAAGTTCTTAAATTTTTAAATTACTCGGTAAAGTTTGATCGTGCATTTTAATAAAATATAGTAAATACAAGGAAAGCGGCATTTAATACAAAAAATGCACTGCTGGAACTTTGTTTTGATTGGCTTGATTTTTTGTTTAGATCGTAAGTAGGTACAGGCAGAAGTTTACCACACAAAGCAGGGTATTTTTCAGTTTCACATGTAAGACCGGAAGGACAGGCACTACATGCACGACCTCTTGCGTAGATTGGTTTTCCAACTGTTGCTTGGCCTGTTATATTCTCAGACGTACTTCCATAGTTACAAACAAGTATGAAAGACCAGTGAAAGACAGTCTCAAATTGCTTATGCTCAAAGGGTTTAGGGGTGTAGGATTTAGCACATCCTATAAGATCAGTATCCGCCCAAATCATCTGTGAGATCCGTGTAACGTACCCCCATCAAGGTACTACTGAATCAGTATAATCGTCTACAGTAACTGATTCGTCGTCGAAATAACTGATCTCGTCATACCTAACGAAATCATAAAACGAAAATCACTGCTGAACTTAAAAACAAAACTAGACAAATGCTTACCAATAATTTGTCCATTCATGTGGATCATCAGATCTGAACGTAATTCCACCTAAGAGCTGACCCACCAAACCCTCTTTTAGATTATTGTGAGTTTTTCTGCAACTGTCCTTGGTTCCTGTAAATTTGCCAGCGTAACATTTTGCGATGTACTCCAGCTCTAAATCGTAATTCATAACCCTCATATTAGAAGCTTCTGGGACAAATGTGTTTTTATGTTGCGCCATACCAGATGCTACTGTGTTTCTGGCTTCATTATGAATATCTAGAATTTTTCGGCGAAAAGAGGCAATCCTTTTCACAAGTAGTTCTAGAGGTGGCTCAACCTCGCACTTGCACGCTGTATGTTCGACGGTTTCGTTGCACTTGAAGTCACAGTAGTTAAAAGTAGACGGATCAAAAGTAGAGACAAAAGAAAATATTACCAAGAAAAATATTAGTGGCGAAAACGTCATTTTTAATTTTTCACCCTGACATGCTTTTAAGATAATACCTTACTGCATTTATTCGCTGTCATAGCAATATGCCTAGGTTTATTGACATTATAATACATTTTAATAAAATGAAGTGAATGCAAGAAAAATAATACTTAGTGCAACTAAACTGCTTACAATTTGACTGATTTTTGCAACATTGAAGTATATAGTCTAAGGCAAATGCAGGAAGTTGAGATTATGGACAAAGGTTATAAATATAAGGAAAAAAAGACCAAAGGGAGAAAAATAGTGAAGAATCACCTCACCAATGGGACATGAGCAGCAAAGAAAAGAAAATTTCAAAGTAGGCATTAGAGATAGACTGAAAGTTAAGAGTGTAGTGATTAGGATAGAAACTCAACAGTTAGTAGAAATATTGTTCCTATAGAAACTTAGCCGCCCAAACTTAGACACCACTTTTCACCCTCTTTGGGGTCGAATCTCCGAAAATGCTTAAATACGTGTTTCGTTATTTGTGTTGAAGAGCATTATTAATACCAAGTTTTAAATAAACATCACCTCAAAATTTACAATAGAAATACTTTTCGGATACAAAATTAGCCACCACTTTTCACCCCCTTTGGGGTTGAATCTCGGAAAATGCTTAAATAGTCTTTCATTATTATTATTTATGTTTAAAAGCACTAATTCTAAATTTCACGTGAAAATTTAATTTTACAATGGAAATACTTTTTCCGCACAGAGTTAGCCAGTACTTTTCACCCCCTTAAGGGTTGAATCTCGAAAAATGCTTAAACAGGTGTTTCATTATTTGTGTTGGAGACAATTAGTGCCAAGTTTCACGTAAAAATTTAAATTTACAATAGAAATATTCCCACACAAATCTAGACACCATATTTCACCCTCTTAGGGGTTGAATTTTAGAAAATGCTTAAAGGCGGGTTTCATTATTTATGTTGAAGAACATTAATACCAAGTTTCACGTAAAAATTTCAATTTATAGTAGAAATATTGTTCCTATACAAACTTAGCCGCCCAAACTTAGACACCACTTTTTACCCCCTTAGGGGTCGAATCTCCGAAAATGCTTAAATACGCATTTCCTTATTTGTATTGAAGAGAATTAAAATGTGCCAGGTTTCACGTAACGATCTAAATTTACAGTACACATATTGGTCCTTTACAAATTTTATCACCCCTTTTTAACCTCCTTAGGGGATGAATTTCGAGAAATCCCTTCTTAAACGATGCCTCCAGTATAAAATGAACATTCTCTCGAAATTTCAACTTTCTATCATAAGCGGTTTGCGCTGGGCGTTGATATGTCAGCCGGGACATTGCCTTTTATATATAAAGATAACCCGTATAACTTTTTTATTTTTAAAGATAAACCTATAGTTCTTTGACCAGAATTATATTTTGGACATGACAATGACACCAACATCATTTATTTAAATGGAATATTCCCCTTTTTTTAAGTGGAAACCTTGCACCCTTTATTTTCTTCGAAGATATGTCATTTGGCAAAATCAGTCGTATCTTGGCAAGTACTAGCCCCGCCCACCCGCCCTCTATTTTCTTGGAAGGTACGTCATTTGCCAAACTCATTCGTATCTGAGCAAGTACCTACTAGCCCCGCCCACCCTCCCTTAATTTTTTGAGAGTAGGTCATCTGCCAAAATCAGTCTTATCTTGGCAAGTACTAGCCCCGCCCACACGCCCTCTATTTTTTTGGAAGGTACGTCATTTGCCAAACTCATTCGTATCTTAGCAAGTACTAGCCCCGCCCACCCTCCCTTTATTTTTTAGAGAGTAGGTGATCTGCCAAAATCAGTCCTATCTTGGCAAGTACTTGCCCCGCCCACCCACCCTTGTTTTTCTTAAAGAATATGCCATTTGCCAATATCAGTTTTATCCCAACAAATACTAGCCCCGCCCACCCTCCCTTTATTTTTTTAGAGAATAGGTCATCTGCCAAAATCAGTCTTATCTTGGCAAGTACTAGCCCCGCCCACACGCCCTCTATTTTTTTGGAAGGTACGTCATTTGCCAAACTCATTCGTATCTTAGCAAGTACTAGCCCCGCCCACCCTCCCTTTATTTTTTAGAGAGTAGGTGATCTGCCAAAATCAGTCCTATCTTGGCAAGTACTTGCCCCGCCCACCCACCCTTGATTTTCTTAAAGAATATGCCATTTGCCAATATCAGTTTTCTCTCAACAAATACTAGCCCCGCCCACCTTCCCTTTATAAGAATAGGTCATCTGCCAAAATCAGTCTTATCTTGGCAAGTACCTCCTAAGAAAGAAAGAAAATAGAGGGCGGGTGGGCGGGGTTTTAGTACCTATTTGATAAGGTAAGACTGATTTTGGCACTTTTGACATTTTCTTGTAGATTTCGATATCCAGAAGTCATTTTCGGCTTCGTTTCTTCGAACATTTCTACCGTGTTTCTAACATCGCTAATTGAAATACAGCAATTTTTAGAGTTTCGTCAAAATAATTTTCTATACAAATTTTGTAGATAAAGAAGGAAATTATTGTTAATTTTTGTTTTTGTACCCCATGTCAATAAAAAATTGTTCTTAAACTATTAAAGTTATAGCTTTAGATATCCAGAATTTCGTTAATTTTATAAAAATGTAATGATTTTTTAAACTGACGAAGAGAAGTTAAAAAAATTGGTCTAAAGAGTTTAGACAGTACTTCCCTCGCTGTCGGAAACTTGACGACTGCATGGCTATTGTGTTTTTTTCTCATTACATTTTTGTAATGGGAATTTAAAAAAAATTGCGATGACGTCATCAACATTTTTGCAAGGACACGTATATCAGTTGGGATAGATGTAGTGTAATACTAAGAATAAAATTATTGTATTCCCAAATTTTCGGGAAAATGAATTGGGTCGTTTTGAATATTGATTTTTTATAATCAATAAAATAACGAAACAATTTACTCGCGTATACGGCAACTGAAAATCGTTTATGTATAAACATTCTTAATTTAAGATGACAAGCGTAACAGCATACGTGAAAGTCAAACAGAGAAACTGTAAACAAAACGACCATCGGTTTTATTGCTTCGACTTCCGCTTATTATATAAAACATTGGGTTTTATTTTAATTCTTGACGGTGAAATTCACAATTGGTTGATTATAAACATGTCTATTTCACATTCGCGGAACCAAGTGATCGCATAAAACAAATGCAGGTCTGTAATGTTAAAGTCGATATAAATAAGCGATGCTACCCTTATGTTTCAACCGAGTTTTTCCTTTAACAAATTTTGTGTCTACCAAATTGGGTTGGTTGGGGTGTAATACTAATAATAAGTGTTGCCTTTAATTTAATCAATAAAATAAATTGACTTCATTAATTTTTTTGAACCACCTCTTAAGAAAATCTAAAAAATATGAATGGAATGATAAATCACAAGTACAAACTCATCATATTTTTTGCATTTTAGATAGGATTTATTCAGCAAAATTTAAGGGTGACGTCATCAATTTTTTTAGGAGGGATGAACAAATACATTTTGAACAAAAGTTTACCATGCTTATAATAACATTAAAATATTCCCAAGATTTCAAAGCATTCGGTTTTGTAATTCCTGATTAAATCGATAAAATAAATTCACGCCTTCATTAATTTTTTTGAGTCACCCTGCATATGCAAATCCAAAAATATGAATGGAATGATAAATCACAAGTACAAACTCATCATATTTTGTACATTTTAGATACGATTTATTCGGCAAACTTTTGAGCTGACGTCATCAGTTTTTTGTAGAAGATAACCAAATATATTTTGACTAAAAATTTATTATGCTCTTTATAACCTTAAAACATCTGCAAGATTTCAAAGCATTCGGTTTTGTAGTTCCTGATTAAATCAATAAAATTAATTTACGCATTCATTAATTTTTTTGAGTCACCCTGTATATGCAAATCGAAAAAATTTGAATGGAATGATAAATCACAAGAAGAGACTCACCATATTTTGTACATTTTAGATAGGATTTATTCAGCAAAATTTTGTGGTGACGTCATAAATTTTTTAGGGGGACGACCAAATACATTTTGATAAAAAATTTACCATGCTTATGATAATTTTAAAATATCTTCAAGATTTCGAAGCATTCGGTTTTGTAGTTCCTGAGTAAATCAGTAAAATAAATTTACGCTTTCATTTATTTTCTTGAATCACCCTGTATATGCAAATCCAAAAAATATGAATGGAGTGATAGATCACAAGTACAGACTGATCATATTTTGTACATTTTAGATATGATTTATTCGGCAAATTTTCGAGCTGACGTCATCAAGTTTTTGGAGGGGATAAGCAAATATATTTTGACTAAACATTTATTATGCTCTTTATAACCTTCAAACATCTGCAAGATGTCAGAGCATTCCGTTTTGTAGTTCCTGATTAAATCAATAAAATATATTTAGGCATTCATTAATTTTTTTGAGTTACTCTGTATATGCAAATCCAAAAAATATGAATGGAGTGATAAATGACAAGTACAGGCTGATCATATTTTGTACATTTTAGATATGATTTATTCGGTAAACTTTCGAGCTGACGTCATCAAGTTTTTGGAGGGGATAAGCAAATATATTTTGACTAAACATTTATTATGCTCTTTATGACCTTAAAACATCTGCAAGATTTCAGAGCATTCGGTTTTGTAGTTCCTGATTAAATCAATAAAATATATTTACGCATTCATTAATTTTTTGAGTCACCCTGTATATGCAAATCCAAAAAATATGAATGGAGTGATAGATCACAAGTACAGAGTCATCATATTTTGTACATTTTAGATATGATTTATTCCACAAACTTTTGAGCTGACGTCATCAAGTTTTTGGAGGGGGTAAGCAAATATTTTTTGACTAAAGATTTATGATGCTCTTTATAGCCTTAAAACATCTGCAACATTTCAAAGCATTCTGGTTAGCAGATTAAAAATTAAATTTCAAAATGTTGTTTTATAATTTTGATTTTTTTTCCAAAAATCTGGACGTTTCGGGTGAAAA